TAAAAAATGCTTTTGTTAAGCCAGCAAAAAACCAATGCTAAAAGAGAGAGTTTAAGAACAAAACACTTTGTACTTTAAAGTGTCACCAAAGTTTGTCATGCGCCAACAAATGACTGAAAGGTTGTAAACTGACTTTTAAATTTTTATTCATTTATTGTGCATTCCATGTGAATTATTATACATATTACTTTTTGTAACTATGTACCAAAGTACCTACTTATTTCTAAATATTTGTTTGTTTTCTAAAAATAATTGTGTAAGAGGTTTGATGTTTAATTTTGTTACAAAAATTTAATTAATTTTGTTTGTATAGTCGGACTTAAATAACAATAAACAATTCTTAAATATTCTGATTTTATTAAATATTTTATGGACACCCTATTTATACGATCCGGCCAAATGTGGATGAAAAAATCGTGAAATGTTACGATTTAATGGTTGGTCAAATTAAGTTGCCCACATCATGAAATACGACCATTTCATGAAATTTGAGCATTTATGAAGTGAGAAATCTAGGATAGAGACATATATATAGATCAAATTTATTTTATTAAATATACATCCTACAATACGAACTACAATATTACTTCAGAATAGCGTAAACTTTTAATGAAGTTATTGTTCGTCAATAGTGTACGCATAAAACAAATAATTTACTAAAAATATAGTTTCTATTCTACAAGTATTAGGGTACCTGTGTAAATACTTGTTTTCCACCTAAGCAATGTAATTGTATCAGATTTTTCGACAGTAGATTTTTGTCAAATAAATTAATAACATGCTCACGATTTCACGTACACCCTGTAACATTACTGTTGCATTTATATAAAATATAATTTAATAAATGCCAGCAAAGCACGCGCGAGCCCTCTGGGATTGAGAGTGTCCATGGGCGGCGGTATCACTTAACAACAGGTGAGCCTCCTGCCCGTTTGCCTCCTGTAACATAAAAAACTTACAAGATATAAATCTAAATAATATTTAATAAAAGATGTGTATAAATCGCAATTAGAGGTGGCTGAATATTGATGCATATGTCAAAATACAAAATATCTATAGTCATATTTTGTATAGCTGTTTACTTTCACATTTAAACATAATGTATTCGTAGATTCATGTGTTAAGCCAACACTTAACTCGAAGTAATAGTTTAAAGCTTCGCACCGCGTCTGCAGTTTCAAGCTATTTCGCTCTATTAGCCAAAACTGCAACTACCTTTAGTTTAAATATACCAACATTTATAGTAATAGTTTATAATGTGCTGTATTGTTTATGAAAATACAATTATTATTATTTTCACTCTATTTACATCCCAAACACAAAAACACGATGAGCCTATTTGAATTTTATTTACAAATAGCTGAGAGCAGTTTTTCCAGACAACACATATTTAGAATATTTACGGGTCGGGGTTACAATCTGGATATAAATGAGAGACTGGGTCTACGGGTACCAAGCAAAAGCCTGAGGCTGTAATCTCAACTTTTGGATGTACTGCGCGCACACTCCAACTTGGTTAGCGAAGCGCTACTCACACGAAGAATATGTACTATAATAAATAGAATTTCTATCGAGGTAGACCTATTTGTTTGTACACTGGCTGAGTTCACTAGAGATGCTTGCTATGTTATTAGTTATAACATCTAGGTATATATATGTTACTGTAAAAGCTCGAACTGTGCAGTAAATCCTAAGATATTCCAGTAAAACCTAAGATCTACCAATTCCTAATGGTAAATGTCCCAAAAGGTTTGCTATTCGAACTCTTACCTCCATTCCGTTGGTAAATCTTAGGATTTACATTAATGGCACGGTAAATGTTGAAAAACAAAACATGACTAGCTTATGTAAGCATTATGTTTGTAAATTCCAAATAGAGAAATACTGATTCAGTTAGATATATGATAGAGATTGAGATATTCAGAGATATACGTTATGTGTTTTTTCAAAATAATTTAAATAAGTTGGTATTAGTTTGTACTTATTACTATCATATTATATAATACTATGTACCTGTTTTGTCTAATTGTACATTAAAGTAAATAATTAAGAATTACTCATTGTTTTATTCCTAAAACCAACATCTACCAGCTGACAGTGGTAAAACCTAGCATATACTGAATTTGAATGGTAAAAGCTCGAAAAAATCGTCGTATTTTCAGAAATACTTACATTTACCAACTCATATCGGTAAATCCTAAGACTTACACTTAAATCTTAAGATTAACCGTAGTTCGAACTTTTATAGTAACATATGCATGTTTCCTTTTTTTAATGATTTTTTAATTGAAGGATTATTGGTGTAGGCGTTACTGTGTAGTTCTATCGCATTAGTAGTAACTTTTAAGATAGAATAAATGTTTGGAAATAAACAATGCAGACCACATTGATGTGCGACAGCACCTTACATACGTGTTGGTCCCGTACAGTATATACATAGGAATATGTATATACTGTACGGGAATTCTGACAGACGTAAATAATTATGCAACGGGTAATGTAACAATAACAATGAAAATTACCGCAAAAAGTCTAGTAATTACTGAATGCCAATGATCACGTTCTACATATTTTCGTCAAATAACACGTCAGAAGAAGCACCAATCGACTCTGTTTAATGAGTATGTATGGTTTTATAATATTGTGTATATGTTACCGGAAATGTATGAAATCTTGGAATTGTATACAAATCCTAGGAAATTTATATAATTCCGAAGCTATTTAGGAAGGGAATAAAATATTGTTTCGAAAACTATTACTGTATAATAAACTACCCACAGATAAAAAAATATTACTTCTATAAATTCATTCAAATCTAAGCTAAGTGAATATGTTAAAACAAAAATTACTTTTAAATTCATATTTCTTTGTTTACTTTTATTTTTAAATTTATTGCATGTACGGCTATATTTTATTGTAATTATTTTAAGAACGACTACAATGTTATGTTATCTAGAGTATTATTCTATGTAAGTGACATTTTTGCTTTTTGAGAAATAAAGCTTAACTACTATTTCATACATAAATGTCCTAGGAAATGTGCACAATTCCTCGAAATTGTATGTAATTCCAATACCGTATTAGGAAATGTATAAAAATATTGCTTTAATTAATAATAAAAATAACCTAACCTCTTTCATCATACGATCTCTTCCACCGTGACCAATTTGAATATGTGTCTCGTGTAATATGTCGAATAATTCGCTATCACATGCGTAGTAAATAATAGTGCTTGTGGTGTCTTTAACAGGAAAAATAAGCTTACTTTTGATATCTCAATACATTTTTATCAATTTTGTTGAGGGTAGTACATAATTTGACATGACCAATAGCCACGTTTCATTTCACATTATCTTTTGCTTTGGCGTATCACTTAACTAGAGCCACTTGTGATTTTATTATTAATTACGCCCACAATATTATATTTTTTCGTGAGTGTTCTGTGCAGGCTGTGAACTTTTTGTGTTGTACTGAAAGAGTGTATTTATAATCGGTATAACCTTTCCCATTCTACCTGCATTAATTGGTCCCTGCGACTCGCAATTGTGTATTTTTTCTTAAATTGATAAATTGTGTTTCAACGACCACCGACCGGTTCTTTGTGGCGCAGAGTAAATTATTAAGAGTCTACAATAATCTATTAATAATTAATATCTCTATTGATTTCCGATTACAGTACGTTTCGTTGGACATTTTTTATTTACAGAGAGCCTTTCTGTTCCTGACACTTGTCGGAAATTTTTGAGTCTAAAACCTTCTTGCTGACAACGATGTTTTCCACTACCTTACGAGCAAACACAAAAACATTGGTGACAGCTATGGTAGGTTTCATTGAAGTTTGTCAATTTAAATATCGGTGACCCCAGAGCTGGCACTTTCCTGGCTCAACGAATAAGTATCGCAATACAGCGAGGAAATGCTGCCAGCGTTAAAGGTACACTGCCACAGGGACCTAACTTTTTAAATTTGTTTTGATTTTAATTATATTTATTTTTAATTATTTCTATTATTACTTTGTAGGTTAAGAAAATTGTAAATACTTGATTGTAAATAAAAGGTATTTAATTATTATATATACAAGCCTTATACGTAACGTTGGACAAGTCAATTATGTAATGTACGATATGTACGGAATGCTATTCTATTGTCCTTATAGGGACATCCTATTTTTGCCCTACGTCACGAAACTAGCAATTCATTCATATTACGATGTAAGCCTAGCACGAGTCGGTACGAAAACGAACGCCAAAGTAGATCGAAAATGAGCCGCCAATTATCAATATTCACTGATTTCATGTTGTAACGATCTTTCTAGTCTGCGTTTACAGATTACTGCGATGACTTTATACACTGAAACGCGCTAACAATGATATTCCAGCCGCTAATTATGTATAGAACTTAAGTATAGAACCTAAGTCTCTGCGGCCTTCGGGCCGGCCAGTCACCGGTTAGACTGCTCGAAGATTCTCCCTTTAGGTTGAACAGTACACCATCCTTCCTCCACAATGTCATAAAGGAAATAGCATGTGTCCGGTAATCCAGGGTTAAATTTCAGGTGACACTATATTTTTTTTCATATAATGGCTGGCTTAAGAAACGATTAATAAAACCGAACCAGAAATGTCGGGCTTACTATAGAGTGACGGAACTCCAAGCAACTGATTTTCTTCCTTGTAGATAACAAAAGGAATTCCCCGAAAAGACAATAAATACGATACGTTGATTAGGTGTAAGGTCAATCTTCGCTACGAAAGTCAATTCGATAAGAAGCTCGTGCTTCGTTGGTTTAACGTCACTGCTAAAGGTAGCGTTGTAAATGGCGGGGATAAAGAGCTTTTTTTCCTTTTAAATATCCTCATACGTCATAATATTTCGTTGCCATTTCGGATAATAATAGTTCCGTCAAATTAGTTATATAGCGAGCAAGTTCCTGTGACGATTTAGTTCCTAACAAACCACCAAAAAGATACGTTTTTCAAATGTTATTTAAAGTGAAAGTTATGGGTGATTTTGATATGAAGTTTATATGGATTTTATTATTGATTAGTTGTACAGGTGAATCTTAATTATTTCATATTTTTATGTTATTAAATATGTCAGGTTTTTAATGATTTGATGTTTTTAAATGAAATATTATAATGGGCATTTTATCATTTTAAGATATACATAAATAAAACTTAAATTAGGGTTGCTATCTCAATCTTTTAAAAAGGCCGCCCGTAGCTTTTAGTAGGATCCGTCGGTATGTTTTATTTTTTTTAAGTTTATTGTTAATATTATCATTTAATTTTTGTGCAAAAAGTCTAATAATTAAAGACTTTAACAAATGTTTTAGAACTTACAACTTCATACTTTATAAATTCTATAGTGTTCCTCAAACTACAAGAGAATCAAAAAAGAATTCATACAATATTTAACAACAATGACAATATATTTAACCTAAATATAATGTCTTCAATACAAATGTTTTGACATCATCATCCATATTGATTCAATAGAAAATAAGCGGGTACACGATTCCAAGAGCCAGAGACAAAAAGTCGCTACTGTGTTTCATCAGTAATCTTCTATTTTTGTTCTATTTTAAAAGTTTCAAGTTTTACTTACTACTTTATCAAATTACAGGGTCTATGGCCGTCGTGAATAAACACCGGATCCCTTGGCTTAAAATTAGATTCCATAATAATGAACCTTTTGAAAATTTTGCAAGTCGATATACGAACATTTTATCAGAACGAAGCCAGCTCCAGCCACCAGAAAATGGTGACCCCTGCGACAGTATCATCCCGCCACGACCAAGGTGGAATTTTGGTCAACGCATCAGTGATAAAAGTAAGATTGTTTAAAAATCAAATTAAGTATCTGTATACCGATTTATTATTTATTGGTGCACAGCTGGGGATAGAACCTATGACCTCAGGAATGAGAGTCGCACGCTGAAGCCACTAGGCCAACACTGCATCAGTATTCGAAAAATATTCTCTTATAATTGCTCGCCTTTTAATAATGTTCTTAGATAAGTCACATTAGTTGGACATCGCTTTAAATTATTTAAATAATATTTTATTGATCTTTTCCTTTTGTAAATGTTTGTACGTTTTGTATTTGTATTTTCTTTATATGCCTTCCTTCTTTGGCTATATCTTTAGTATAATTGGTTCTTGTTATATATAATTTATGTTAGATGTTATACGACGAAAAAAATAAATGAATCTCGGTTAGAGTCTCTTAACATTTATATTATTAGTTAATGGCGAGGTCAGGTAACTTGTTAATCAAATAAAACGCATAGTTTATCTAACAACTTTCTATTTATTTTTAGATTTAACTAGCTGACCCGGCAAACGTTGTTTTGCCATGTATATTATAATCTAGGAAAAATTTTTTTAGTTTAATAACTATGTACTCTAATAAAAAAATGGGGTTGATCGTAGAGGGGTGAAAGTTAGGGGTTGTATTTATTTTTGTATGCTGTATCATAAAAAAATAAAAACAAAAAAAATTTGGCTAAAATAATAAAAAAATTGTTTAAAGTGGACACCCCTTATCACTTAAGGGTTCGAAAGATAGATAGTAGCCGTTTCTCAGACTTACTAAATATGCATTAAAAAATTCATAAGAATCGGTCAGGCCGTTTCGGAGGAGTATGGGAACGAACATTGTGACACGAAAATTTTATATATAAGAGAAGGCTTAATTGAAACTTAGATGATATTAACATTTAAAGATCTTATCATCTCATCTGCAATCAGCCTCTTGTCTTTTATCAGATTTTATAATATGATTTTGGGGCAATTAGGGAATGCAAATCTAAAAATTTGTTTTGCCGCCGTAATCCGCAAACTGTCAACATTCATAGATGCTGATATTATTGTATTTTTTATAACACATCGTTGATATGCTTACTTTTTTAATTGTATTTTTGTTATTTATAGGATGTACAGAATACATGAGTGATATGATGTACCGAAATACGCTAAAAGACAGGGAAGAGAAGTGTAAGTTCATTTTTTTAAAATATAACTTGTAAAATAGGTATTCATAAAAAATAAACAAAAGTGCGTGCGTACAAAGTACATATGTCAGAAGTGAACCTTCTTTGGCAAACTAATCTTTAAGTCTTGTTCATATTTATACAAATCTAAAACTTTAGATTTCCGATACTTAGAGGGAGGGGAAAAGGAAGATATGTTAGGAATTCAATGAATTTAATTATCATTGAAATATTAAGTGTCTAAAATTAATACAAATTATTTAAAAAAATTATTATTTTCTTCGACAATAAAAACATAAATCGAAAATAATAAATAATCTTTCAAACATTAGATTAAGTTTTTACATAATTTCATTAATTGTAATAGAATTATTACTATCATTGTTATTATGATTTTATATATTTAATATATTATTTGTTATTAATGGTTTCGAATCTCTTCGTTTAACCGTTCAAATCAACAGGGATAAGAAAAATATGGCGCGTAACCAAAAAATGTGACAGTAAATTTTTTTCCAACATCTAATTGCACCATTTTAATTAAAGTAGGCATGTCTCTTTTCATAACAAAAAAAAATTTGTTTTGTTCTTCTCTTTCGTTCTACGACCACGATTTGAGAACTGGCAGTAAATGTAAAATTAGAAGCATTTAATGTACATTTCTTTTTTGACATTCATAAGAGTACATTGTGTTTGTTACCTATATGAATAAATTATTTTTTACTTTTGTCTTTAAACAGTTATAAATACTTCAAAGACTGCTAATTGGATTCAAATATAAGGGTCAAAGGTTCTGGACTAAGACACTATAGCTTCTATTTTGTTTTTGACGTCCGAATTATTACAGGTCAGCAAAAACAAGGCAAGGAACCTGGTCAAACATACATACGATTATTATACAAACATTCAACCAAAGAAGGAGAATATCCACACATGGTAAGAACAAAGAATTGAATTCGTATTTTCAATGTTCTTTGTCAATTTTGATTTTTAGTCCTTAAAGTTAAAATTCTATTATGACTTCGCTCTTACATTAATTCATACATGTATTAATTTGCAATATTACCATTTAATTCGTAGAGATACAAAAATATGCAACTTTAGGTCTGTCAAAAATATTATTAATTTATATTTCATTTGGGCTGATTGAAGGAATTATTTGAAAGTAGGTTTCTTGATCTGTTTAATATTTAATATAGCACACCAAGGCATTACACTAGTATTCTTTGATATGATGTAACAAGACGTTACATATCAAAGACGTCATAATGATAACGAAATATATAAAGAACTAGTGGACCCCACAGACGTTGTCCTGCATGATATTTAAAGCGATTAGGATATTAAGCAAAGTATGAAAGTACCGACTGCAGTGCCATCTGCCGGGCTGATTTGTGAATCTAAACCATTCCCAGATCCCCTTGAACACACACAAAAAATTTCATCAAAATCGGTCCAGTCGTTTGAGAGAAGTTCAGTGACATACACACTCACAGAAGAATTATATATATAAAGATAGGCGATAACAGGAAATAAAACTTTTAAACTATCATAAATATTATATTTTGAGTGAGTCATTATGGAATCACCGAACAATCAAATATTTCGTTATTCAGCTATTTAATTTTAACATATTGTAGTAACTAGTAGAGATTTCAAGTTTCAGTCTTGTACGGATTTTTAAAGGTTAATTTGCTTTCTGTCATATTTACCGACATTATACGCTTTTGTCGGTAAAAAGTTTTACCTTCTGCGAATTATGTGGACATGTATTTGCTGGATTGCTTTATAACACCGAGGGTAATTTAATTCGACTTAGGGCCCTTCAAGAAAAGAGCGTACCAATTATTAAAAGACCGGCAAAGCACTTGCGAGCCTTCTATCAATGTGAGTGTCCATGGGCGGCGGTATCACTTAACACCCGGTGAGCTTCCTGCTCATTTGCCTCCTATTACATAAAAGCTATCACTCCAAATAGAACTTGACTTTTGACTAATACGATTTTAACATACGAGTGGAGAACACTTGGCGCTAAGTCGTCTAGTTTATTTACATCATCCTGAGTGCTATATTTCTCAATAACAGTACACAGACTACACTAACTTTATGTAATCCTAGTAAGTTACGCAATGTAGATTTAGTTTTGCCTAAAACATTCTAGGCGAACTAAAAATAAAGTAAAAAATACATCAATAAATTATATGCATTCCATCCTTCACATTCACGTTTTTGAAGTTATACTTCTTTTGGCGCGGTAGGGAAAAATTATGAGAGTAAATTATTACGATGCGCGCGCACTAAACAACGGCACCCTGCAGTTAGCATAGTCAACATTTTAACTTTAAAAATGTCCATTCTTTTAATTGTGTAGAAATAACCTTTATTGTGATATTTAAATAAACTGTATTTAACTAGATAATGCGTTATAATAAAACTTTCAATGTATTAAATATCTTTTTTCTACTTTTAGTGTAGTTTTTTCTACAACCGTAGAATAGGCCGTAAGATAATATAAGTAAACACTCATGTTTTTTTTTGTACAATCAACGTGCTGTTTTGTAATATAGGCAGCTATTGGTTGGAGACGGAGGCTACGGAACAGCTGGGCATTTCTCTGCGGAGGCAGTCTCATAAGCCCGAACTTCGTCCTGACAGCAGCCCACTGTGGCTCACAATCCACCGCAGTAGTAACTAGTAAATACTTGAGGAAAGCACAACCAGACATCGTCCGTTTGGGATCTAGGTATATCAAGGTCAGTAAAAATAAATACCAAAAATAATAGAGGAAACTATATAATACTGGACATAAATACACAACTTAATTTTTTTTATACTATAAATCTATTGGCTAGTTCGTAGTTTTCTTTCACTGATATTAAAAACCTTACGAACGAAGTCTCTGGATCGATTTTGACATTCGGTTTTATTACAGACACGCCGTAATCCAGAATCTGATGTAAAAATCAAACAGTTCATACAACATCCATATTGGTATCCACCTAAACATTATTACGACATTGCGCTGGTGGAGTTGGCCGAATCAGTGTCGTTTTCAAAAACTGTCCAACCAGCGTGTCTGCCAGGATCATTTGCATCGAAATATGATGCTTATATTACTGGTTGGGGAGCTACAGATGGTACGTAGTAAATGGAAAACGTAATAAATCATAAAAAATCACTTATTAATTAATTTTCTTATTAACTGACTGAATATGAAAACAAAAAAGTTAGTACCACCTAAAAATCGTTGTTTTATAACCTATAAACATATGATACTATATATATATGATGTAACATTTGTTCCTTTTTAATATTAAAAAGAAAATCAAAACAAATTTAAAAAGTTTGGTCCCTGTGGCAGTGTTACTTTAACGCTAGCAGCATTTCCTCCCTGTATTGCGATACTTATTCGTTTCTACATATATATTACATTTTAGTAACAGCTAAAAAACTATCACCAGTACTTCAAGCAGCGGAGGTCGACATTATAGATTCAAGTGAATGCAACACACTGTTGACTCCATTTTCAAATAGAAATTGGTGGGGTGTGATGGACCACCAGTTATGCGCAGGGAAACTCGAAGGTGGCGTTGATACTTGCCAAGTAAGTATAATCTGTAAATAATATAGTAGGTATAACTGAAAAAGGCGAATTGAAATTATTAGGCTTAAGACCAACGTATTTTTTAACCTAGGAGGAAATGCTATTCATACCTTGCAACGCAAAGGCTCAAAGGCTACGGGGATATGGGACTGTACTGACACCAGACACCCTCTATATTCAGAGAGCCGAGTAAGCAATACCCACTAAAACACTGCTTGAGTGCATTCCGAAAATGGATTTCACCTGGGTCGCTTTCGCATTATATCGGACCTAGACCAGCCTTGCGATTCTGTAACTCACTTTTCGAATCTCACAGCGGTTTTCGCCGCGGCGGTCGCGCTCAAATCAGTCGTGAAGCAGTCATTTTATGATTTGGCATTCTGATAAGGAGGGAGCATGTAGTTTATTGTTAGTAGAGATTCGAAATGTGAGTTACAGAATCGCAAGGCAGACACTGTTGGCGTAAACCAAAACACCTTCCTATGAAACACCTATTTCTTTTCAATATTGAAAATAAATGTAAAATTCGTAACAATGTAAAACAATGACAGGTATTCCCAAAAGATTATTCACGGGGAATTGGCCTAGAGAGGCAAATCGAGTTTTGTTTTACAAAACCCTGGGTGTATTTTATAAAGAATACGAGTATAATCGACGTTATCAAATATTAACCAAAGCTCTTTCATAATTTTTAGGGAGACTCTGGTGGACCTCTACAACTCAAGCTTCAAGAGACGAAGCATGAAGGAAGTATGCACATGGTGATTGGAGTAACATCATTCGGGTTTAAATGTGGACTCAAAGATAAGCCCGGAATATACACAAGGGTTTCTAGCTTTATGGATTGGATAGAAAGTATAGTTTGGCCACAATAACTTGGAATTAATGGTATTTCCAAACCCTTGAAATTTGTGAATTGTTAAGTGAAGTAAAGTTACCGGTTAATTTACACTCTAGAAGTCTACTTGACCCTTTATTTGTTGATCGTGAAAAGATCCCTAAGTGAAGTGAGGTTATAAGATTTTTTGCGGCCATTTTGGCGAATTGTTGTCACGATGCTCAGCTTTGTTAGGAACATCAAGTACAAACACTCAGTGTAGTTTTAAGGTAATATTAATAATTTATTATTGAAATTAAAATGTGATATTTATTTAAGTAATCTTGGGATAATACTTTTATTGTCTTAGCTTGAACCAATTGCATAGTTGCGATACACTGAATTTTGTATAAAGTAATAAATAATGTTAAATTAACTGATTAAGTTTTGAATCTTATAAGGGTTATTGATTTTTAAAAGTGGTTGGTACGTGATCGACCTTCTGAATTATGGCGACAATCTTCGGGGCTTACCAACGCAGATCTTCCTTCCCTGTACAATCCAGTATTAATATCGCACTTAGAAAAAATCAAACTCAACCAGGCTAACATTGCTGTTAATTAGAATGTAATAAATTGCAGTTACAGTAGTCAGACCGCAAATATTTTCCTTAATATTACCAATTTTATCTGTTAATATGATATGTGTATAATTAGAACATATTATGTGCATTTAATTGTTAATTATTTAAAATAAATTATATGTTACTATAAGGTAAATTAAATTATATTTGTTACAAAGGAATGTGAATATATTCAGTTATATGTAATCAGAATTTCAACAATGGACTTGTGGTATGCTCAATGTATGTTGTAGTGTATTTTCAAAAAACTATATTATATAACCAAATCTGAACAAGAAGTCAGCTTACAGTTTCTTTATCTTTTATTTGTATTTAATTTGGATACACAAAAGCATTTTCCCACGCCATTCACTATCATCCTTCCATCCGTTCCTCTTATACATTATCAAAAATAAAAAAATCTAAATACGTTTATTCAATTTAGATGCTTCTTAGAGCATGCTTATGAATGTCAACAACGTTTAAATAAATTCACGAAAGAGCAATACTACGCCATCCGTTCGCAAAACTACCAGGAGGCCTTGTTCTGAGAAGAACGGGCAAGAAACTCAGCAAGTTTTGCCCTCCCTTTACATTACAATTATTCAAAGGAAAATGTCATAAACCACAACGTCATTAAAGTTACATAAGTAAAAAAAATAAAAATCTATTCTGTGATTTACCACATTCACCATTACACACATATTCATAACACTTAAAGATAACCAATCAAATTATAAGAATATAATTAGAACTATTGCCAAGCCTTTTTATCTTCCAGGTAGTCATTGACTGTGTAGTAACCTTTACACATTAAGGTTTTTTTGATATGTGTTTTGAATCTGTTTAAAGGCAGTTCCAATATTTCACTAGGAATCATGTTATAGCAGCGTATACTTAGGCCCTCAAATGAAGTATTTATTTTCTGCAACCTGTAAGACGGCTGGAAAAGTTTTCCCTTATTTCTTGTATTCCTATTGTGAATGTCGCTGTTCTTTAAAAGAGAACTAATATTACTACGCACAAAAACGATACAGTTGTAAATATATTGGGAAGGTACCGTCAAAATATCGATTTTCTTGAACAAATTTCTAAGTGAAGTGCCTGGTTTCAAGCAATAAATTGACCTAATAGCACGTTGTTGCACGATAAAAATAGATTGTATATCTGCTGCTTTGCCCCATAAAAGAATTCCATACGACATAACGCTGTGAAAGTAACTAAAATATACTATTCTGGCAGTTTCCTCGTCTGTGAGTTGCCTAATTTTCCTAATAGCGTATGCCGCAAAACTAAGCTTGTCAGAAAGTTTAGTGATATGCTGACTCCATTTAAGTTTTTGGTCTATTGTAATGCCCAGAAATACCGTAGAATCAACTAAATTTAGTTTTTCATTGTTCAATTTAAGCTCTATAGTTGTAGTTTTAACATTAGGTAAAGTAAATCTTATGCATTTTGTTTTTGTGGCAGAAACAGGTGAAGAGGTGAATTGTAAATTATTTGCAGAAAACCAGCACACTATTTCAGAAAGTGCATTGTTCACATCTTTCGATTTGACAGTACTATTTATTAATATTAATGATCCGCCACGAATAGAACTACTTCTCATGAATACGCTACACAATTGGAAGTTGTCAATAACAATCGTTTCATAACTTCTTAGCTAATGTTCTGTAATACAAATAACTTCAATTTCGCGACTTTTTGTAAACAGTTCTAATTCTAATTCCTTGCCAGCCAAACCTTGTAGATTTTGATATATCTTTTATTTGAGATATCGTGAATAAGTCATAACTTATGTCATCGTTTTCCAGTACGCTTTCCGTAACGTAGGCACGATTACTTCTTCGGACAAACTCTTATAACTTCCTAGTCGCTCCAATATCCTAAGATACGAAAGACTATTCTCAAAACTCGTGGACTTTGCACCAGTCAGCTCTTTTTATTCCGGTATATTCCTTACCACAGCTAATTACTACACTAACACAAAAACAAATTGACTTGTAAATTTCTTATAAAGATTATCACTGTACGTTTGACATCTGACATAGCTTCTTAATAACTAGAAAATAATTGATAAACAATCAGATATCGCTGCGGAAGTAACCATACACCAATAGTTTTGGCTCAGTTATAAATGCTACTGGGCCTATTGTTGAGTTGCGGTCTTATAATATTATATTCCTAATTATTTAATGAATTGAGAATATTATGATTACATTATATTATTTTAATCAATTTTCCCCAAACATTATGATACTTGAAATGGGATTGTTTAGAATCGATTAAAAAATTATTATGTTTTAAAATACTAGCGATAACAGTGTTTATTATTTTATCCGCAAACATGTTGTTTATAATAGTACTAGTGTAATTCTATTATATTAAGGTAATAATTTCATTTTATTTTACCTACTAACAATTTGTCGCATATATTAATTTTTCCTTAGATTTCTGTTTGATATTTTACTATCTGATACACATTCAAAGTATTAAATATTTACTCAAGAATTGAGATATGGAAATACGGACCTTAGAAAACAAGTATTATTATAATTAGTCAGCCATTTTATGAAAACATGTCAGAAGAGATACAGATGTTCAGACGACATTACGTATTAGAGCTATTTTTCCTTAATCGAATCGAATTTTTGTTAATAAAATGTTTTTGTGTTTAAGAATAAATATTGTATGGATTTTGGTGGGTGTTGTTATATATAGTACGGGTAAGCATTGGATATATAACTTATTAGTAAGACATAATAAACAAATATGTTTTTATATTTTTTTTTCAACATCGTTTCTTTATTATGTATATGTTAAAGGTTACTGTTAAACGTGAGCACAAACATTTAATGTGATAAAATTTGTCAAGTCAAATTTGTCAACGTTATTAATAAAAACCGCTCACTTGGTATTTATATTATACATTGTATTTCGATGACAGACATTTAAGGCACAAATAAGACTCTTAATGTCCGAATTCCTTAAAAAAAAACCAATCATAAAGTACGAGTTAAGTAATGGATACGTATCAAGGGAAGGGAACTCCCAAGGGAACTAGGTATTGTAACAAAAATAATAATATTGCTTTTTAATTAAAGCGCAGTGGCCCGCGTAGCTAATAAGGGATATTCAGTTCTTATGTTTAATTTCTGGGAAAACAAAAATCATCATAGCCCAATCACGCAAGAGGGTCCAAACATAAATGCTCTGGCGTCCACATTTTTAATTTATTTTACCTACACAGGGTTATTTGGCGTTCTCCACGAATACAAGCCATTTCGGAAGAGATATTCAAACGGTACATTATCTGAGGAAGTGCAAATTACCTTTAAAGTGAATACAAATGAAACCACAGATAGAAATATCAAAAAACCAGTAAATATAGACCCATGTACCACTTTCACCCCGGTAAAACCACGGTTCTCAATCAATGGTGCCAGAATCAGTGATTTAAGTAGGTTTGCTTTATTTAAATCAGTGTAAAATAATAGATTAATATTAAGCACAAATATCTTATGAGCAGTGTTGGCCTAGTGGTTTCAGCGTGCGACTTTCATCCCTGAGGTCGCGGGTTCGATCCCCGGCTGTGCACCAATGGACTATCTATGATAGTAAGATATATATTATTATCTATGCGCCTTTAACATTCGCTCGAACGGTGAAGGGAAATATCGTGAGGAAACCGACTTGCGTTAGACCCTAAAAGTCGACGACGTGTATCAGGCATAGGAAGATCACCTACTTGCCTATTTGATTGACAAATGATAATGATACAGAACTCTGAAGCCTAACCTAAAAAGGTTGTAGCGCCACTGATTTAGTTTTTATTTATCATATATTGCTATAAAAATTACAATATTGTATTGGGGCAAGGGGCAGACGGATATCTGTTGATATTTTATAAGGCAAGTCACTTTTCTGTACTAACATAAAACACTATCGGGAATCAAAACTAGGAACTCCAGACGAAGGGTTATTGGTCCGAGCTAAACTAAGCTTAGACATAATCAGACAGTGGCGGATTTACCAGCAGGGTGGAGCCTTGGGCGGCAAATTTGGGAACCGATTTTTTTGCTACCTCATAGAAATCAAAAATCAAAGTCTGCAGCAAACTTTGTCCAACCCCCCAACCAGTAATCGACCTCGGCGCCCTCAGTGTATTTTGTATGAGCGAGATTGCAGAAAGTGTATTACCCTCTTCCCTCTTGGCCCTAGGTTTATACCTATACATCTCAGTCGTACTACTGCTGGGGCTGCGGACTGGATGGTTTGTGTATAATTTTGTGCTAATACATCAAACCAAGAGATTATTTTACGTGCACTGAAATTTTTGGATCTAAAAATAATCCGGGACAATACAATTGTAGAGGCAAGGGCGGCAAAAATTTCACAGCCTAGTAGCCAGTATACCTTGAAAATTTGTAATTCCACCACTGTAATCAGAACTAAGAATTACTAAATGCATGCATGTAATTAGATAATAGACACCGTCTTATAAAGACAATCGGATGTCATTTAAAAATTTTAAGTGATCTATTAACAATTAAATATTATTTTGACAGAATGCGCAGAATTCATGGTAGATTTGGTTAATCGTGAAACGATTAGGGACCGAGAAGAAAGATGTAAGTATATATTTGTATTACCCAGAGCCAATCTCAGGTGATCAGCATATCTGCACTGTTTATTGATAATATAATACTTGTGCTTAACTACAATTGAAATTTTCAAACAAAAATTAATATTTTTTAAGAGTCTTTTAAATGGTAATCAGTTTGACCTGAATCTAAATTTTGTTTTTTGAATATTATATTTGAGTACCTTACTCGAATACTTAGCACGTAAACGAAATTTCGTGTGTGTAAAAGTGTTTGTATGTTTGTCCACAAATTTTTGAAAGTAACTTTATGACATGGATCCATGCATTTCTAGGTACTTCCTAAGATTCGATGTAGAGCATCACATGTAAACACGTCCATCTCGTATGATATATATTATGATATATCTCGTGTACATCTTAATAATTAGAGTACATTTCTCTTATAGACTAAAGTATTGCATTTACGTATGTTATATGTCATTTGTTTTACACTGATACCATAGTAGGTATTTGAAGGCGGTAAATTTTTTTTAAATAATGTTTTCATCAATGGTAATCGAAATAAATTGCTATAATCTTTGAAACTGATGAACGAAGTTTTTATTCCCTCTCACTGCTTTTATTTTGTACGAAATATCTTGTCTCATTCCAGGCATGATAAAGCGAGGTCAGAAACCTTCCGAAGTACCCACTCGAGTAATAATAAGCAAGTATTCAACCAAGCAGGGTGATTATCCACACATGGTACGTAACATTCTCTAAACTAGAAACATTTAGTTAATTATAATATTTGACACTTAGAGATAGCCTGTAATATGTGTTTTTTTTTTAAATTCGGCACTTCAAAGGGCTAAGCGGTTTTGTTAAGGAACTGTAGCCAGTTGCAGATCCTCTCACATGACAGTTCCGGTGAAACTGTACTCTTAGGTAGAAGGCTAAAGCGAAAAGTGGTAATTTCGCCTTAATAATTCCCTTGATAGTTGTTTTCGCGGAACCTTTATCAGTGTTTCCCAACGTGGGGCCCACGCCCCACATGGAGGCAGTTTGATGGTTAAGGGGGCAATTCGTTTTTTTTTTAAATAAGTATTTGTAATTTCAGTTATTCTTACTACTTTCGCTAACAATTTCCAAGTAATTATTTCCTAAAACCCATCGTTAAAGATACTTAAGTGAGCAATTCAATTTTAAATATTAAAATTTATGCCAGTTACTCAGAGAGGGGCATAAGAATTTTAGAAGGCTAAGGTGGGGCATGGGACAAAATATGTTGGGAAACACTGCTTTAGATTCAGTAACTAAACCAACCTGTAGACATATATTGTATTGTATTGCACAAATAGAAACAGAAAAAATACCAGAAACTTTTGTGACTCACCACAATTTATGCTCTTTCAGGCAGCAATTGGGTGGAAAATAAAAGAGATGAACCAATGGGCATTCCTCTGTGGAGGCTCTTTGATTAGCCCTAGTTTTATATTAACTGCTGCGCATTGCTCTAAAGCTATCAACAGGGAACTGGAGAGTCCAGGACCAGACATTGTTAGACTGGGTGCAAGGGATGTAGAGGTATTGTAAGTTAGTTTTGGATATTTGTAAAATTCTCAAAAACATACAGAAATATAAATCCAATAATGAATACATACCATCCCTATCACCTCGACGTCCGTCGTTCTACTGAGCGTTTTCTAAGGCAGTTTTTGCCGCGCACCACCACAATGTGGAACCAGCTGCCCACTGAAGTATTTCCGAACCAATTTGACTTATGGTCCTTCAAGAAAAGAGTGTACCAATTCTTGAAAGGCCGGCAACGCACTTGCGAGCCTTCTGGCCATTTGCCTCCTATTACATTTAAATAAACTTTTAACACATAAATACTTATTCTAGTTATCAGGATCGTAAATGCCTGAGATATAGCAGAATGTTCTAATCTTTTTTATCCATTTTGTTGAGGGTAGTACATAATTTGACATGACGTTTGATTTCACCTTATTTTTTGTTTATCGTATCGCTTAACTAGAGCCACTTGTGATTGTTTCCATATTCGCCTATGTTGATTTTATTATTAATTTGCTCAACGGTATTCCTACAGCTACGTAAGTAGCTGAACAATGTTCAAACAATTACACTGTACACAAAATCCAAAAACGCAATACACATTTAGTTTATACACAAAGCACAGTTTCACCTATACAATTTCAAAAAATATACAATTTGATTTTATTATTAATTACGCTATCCTTATTACGCTATCCTTGTGCGTACTATGAACTTTTTGTGTTGTATTGTAAGGTAAAGTATATAGATAATCAGTATAACCTTTCCCATCGTTCCTATATTAATTGTTCCCTTATCCCTACGACTGACAATTGTTTGCCTTTTTTCGTCAATTTAGTTCTAATAACAATTCATACATATGGATGTATTCATTTAAAATGTATTATTAAAAGAAATTGTGTCACTAAAACGATTTTTGTGGTTCATAGAGGTGATGAAATCATAATTTATAATACATGATAATGATAGGCTTACGGTGTCTTCGAAATTCACTTCGCATGGTGCTTAATGTATAATACTTGCCCGGGAACTCTTTCCAGGCGAAACAAATTTGAAAGACAAAGAAGTAAAGAAAAAAACTTTTTAACCGGATTAAAGTTATGTATTATATAAATTTACAATTATTTAACATAATTTTACATTTATCCGAAGTTTCGCGTGCTTTACAGCGTGCGTGGTCACGGTGATTGAAGACAAAAGGTGTTGGATGTCAAAAAGTATCACAACAAAGAAGTCTTATGACAGCCTTATAGCCATAACCTACGCATATTTCTGCTCTATGCAACAAGACGTATCGTCAACCATGTGAATTAATTGTTATTTTGCTTTTACAAATTAACGGTACAAACGCATAGTTCTACATTACTCAGATCACTGTCGGCCTGGTTTGCGACTCTCAATCTGAGCTCAGTTATTATAAATTAGTCTTCTTGATTAAGCCTAGATTGTTCTCAAGCACTTGTCTAAAAATCGGTAGTTGCTACGTAACAGTATTTTTTCAGAATTCAAAATTCGAATTACCCGTGGATATAAATATCAAGGAATTTATTACAAACCCGTATTGGAAGTCTCCTGTGAAATATTTTGATATAGCACTAGTACAGCTTGTTGCTGAAGTGGAATTCTCTAAACTCATCCAACCTGCCTGTCTTGAAGGAAAATACTTTACGTCGCGGCATCAAGTTACCGTTTCCGGTTGGGGTATTACGAACGGTGAGGGAAATTGTTTATTGATAAAAATATTGTTTAGACTCTATCTACCATGATCATAAAAATTAAATCAGTAGTAACACTGTATTCACCAAAGTACTCATATATCGTCTTCCAACACAGCGTAGCACAATTTGATAGAAAGAGACGAGGGTATAAATCCTGCTGGAAATTAAGGAATTGTTACTGGTGACCCGAACTAAATTAATATATTATATTTGTGGAATAACTCAAAGCGCAAGTTTAAAGTTCCTTTCTTAGTTACTATTAATGAAAGCTAGTCAATATCAATTAAAATCAATACGTAGCTTATGAAAAGCTGTTACAATAGCTAAGTTTACAGGCCATTTAAAATGCACCTTGTTCTCAGACGAATAGTCAAGAAACTCGGGTTTTTTTTTTTCCAGTGTTTACATACTCGTACAAAATCATATTGGAATTTGGTGTGGCCCCATCACAACACCAAATACTTAAATTGATTAAACAACCTTTATTCATCAATATTTGAATTAAAAATTTCAGAACAGTCCTCAAAACCATCATCAGAAGTACAGGCAGGCAATGTGGACATAATAGAATCAAAGTACTGTGATTTCCTACTGCTGGTGTATCGGGACAGGAACTGGGGTGGTCTGATGGACAACCAGATGTGTGCAGGAAATATTAATGGAGGAGTCGATACATGCCAAGTGAGAATTTAAAATAAATGTGTTCAGTTAACAATTACACCGAGGCCCCGGTAGAATGCGAGAGCGACCCCGGAGCCTTTTAGTGGGTATTTCTCACCCAGTCTATGAATAGCAGATATTCTGGTCTGGGTCGTGTCCTACATACCCCTTTAACTTTCGGGGGCAGGGGATACCCAAACGTATGTCCACCTCGGATACTAAAAAAAGCCTTCCAAGTAAGAATGATGACTAAAATTTTTACTATTTGATCATAGACTACCGGCGTTTCATATTGCAGTACATATTTCCTAGAGTGAATATAAAATATTTATTACAGGGAGATTCGGGCGGACCCCTACAAGTAAAGATAAAAGATACTAAATACGAAGGATCGATGCATATGATTATTGGTGTGACGTCATTTGGGCATAAGTGTGGAAGGAAGGACCTGCCTGGAGTATATTCAAAAATCTCTCCGTTTCTTGATTGGATTGAAAGTGTTGTGTGGCCAAAATTGTAATGTTTGATCGTGTTATCATTAACATGTCTTATAATGAATATGTTTACAACTATCATGTATAATCGAACTGTGTGATATACTATGTAGTTTAAGTATGTGTTGCATTAACATTTGCTTATAAAAATTTATGAATAAATGTTGTTTTAAATACCACGAATTCATATCCACGACAATAACGGTGAAAACTTAATATTTCTCGTTTAAAAAAAAACAATGCCGCTACAACCTGTTTAGGCCTCAGATTTTTGTAGCTGTTACGTGATCGTTTGTCTATCTAATAGGCTAGTAGGTGATCAGCTACTTATACGTAGTCGACTTTTTGAGTCTAATGCAAGTCGGTTTCCTATCGATGTTTCCCTTCACCGTTCGAGCGAATGTTAAATGCGCACATAGAAAGAAAGTCCATTAGTGCACAGATTGGGATCGAACCTACTACCTTAGGGATGAGCGTCGCACGCTGAAACCACTAGGCCGACACTGTATATTTCTCGATTATTACCCCTTCAAACTGCATTATCCCAAATCAATCAACAAGCGAAATAACGGGATTAAGTCTTCTATATTAGGTAATATTATTAAACAATTTAGTGACGCTACAACCATTTACAGGTTCTGCAAATTTGACTCCAATTCAGGTCGGTTTTCTCACGATGTATTCGTTCACTGTAACAGCAAGAGTTATTTGCACATGAAGACATTACATATCCGTATAAAAGGAAATCATTAAATATGTACATTTACTATTTATATAAATAACGATGGCAGTACAAAATTAATCGGATAGTAAAAAATTTATTATTTGATAGAATTTGATTTGATTATTCAATATCGCCTTCGACCGCGATTCAACGATTACAGCGGTCATATCATACTTTGTCGATACCATTTTTATAGTACGATTGGTCTTTAACCTCAAAATAGGCTTCAGTTTCGGTAATTACCTCGTCATCAGCGCAGGCGAACAACTAAACAATGATGTGTAATTTTGCTATATTGTCTCTTCACCATAAATGGACTTTCATAATACATATATTAGTCATAATGAAACCATGAAATATCTAAACTAATTAATTCATAGCAATTTATTATTAGGACCTTTTTTGACAAAAGTACTTATAGCTTAGAGTCCATACGCAACTCTCAACGACAGAAGATAATAAGAGAAGATAGAAGAGTTCTAATTTACTTTGGTCACATAGCCCTTTGCGAACTAGATAACATGAACAACCTGGTTGGTTTTTTTATGAGATCTCGTTGTTGGCTTTAAGGGCCTTTACAGCTCACCTCGGGCTGTTTTGGCCGGCCGGCCGGCCGGTTTTAGCGCTTTAACAGCTCAGCAGAAATGGGCGTTTTCCCGCGACTAGCGCGATACTCGGACCTCGGCTTGGGCCGTCGCAGGATGGTCAATCGCCTGAAGGGCAGGACGGAAGCTCACTGGAGTGACGAAGTGCGAAGTAAAGGTCCACGCCTTCCCCGGTGAAGGCGATTTGTTACCCTAATCTGAAGGTGGTTTTTAATTTGTAGCTAGCTACGGCCTACGGCTACGGATCATCTGGATCCGTTAGGACATGTACAAGCTGGTTGTCGTCGGCAAGGTGGAATGCAAAAGGCCGCGTGGCTAATCGCCAACGCACTGTCACGATTCTCACGGGTCTGGTGTAGAGATATCACTAGCATATAAATACATGCCTCATTGCTGTAAAATATAAATAAATTATTTAAACAATGAAACAATGACGTATTTAGCTATATTTACCTTAAATGAAGTTAATTTTGTGGCTTTAGTCGTAGTGCAACCTTGAGTAATTATCCACACCAATTAATTAGTGGCTATCTAGTATTAGAACCTTTTTTGACAAAAGTACTTATCTGCCTCTTTTCATCATAGTGTTAACATAATTTGACAAAAAGAGACAAAACATTATCCTATGGAATTACACTGATTTATGTTTAAGGGCACATGTTTTGGCGTAGACATGCTGTAAAAGAAAGTGCGTGCGTACAAAGTGCACATGTCTGAATTGAAACTTCTTTGGCAAAATAATTTTTGACTCTTGTTCATATTTATACAAATCTAAAACTTAAGATTTCCGAGACTTAGAGGGAGGGAAAAAGGAAGATATGTTATCAATTTTTATTCAAAAATAAAGTGTTGTGTGAAAAAAACATTAAATCGCTCTACGCGTCAAATTTAATATTCTATTTTTGTCACAATTTCAAAATATTTCATAATATTGCAGCTATATTTAAAACTAATCTAGGCAAAGCCCTGGAGTAGGAAAACAATTGTAATATAATTTTGTTTTCAGTGATAAGGTTTTCCTTAATTTATGCCCAAGTTGTACTAAAATATAAAGTACCAATTGATAGTATTAAACATTTTATATATTCATTATTTATAAAAAAAAGGAATGCCCAGATTTAAAAATCAAATAGATCTCTTCTTTTACATGAAAAAACAACTCTGGACTACATTTTTCTTGAATGAATAGGTTTATCTTGTAATATAGTGTTCAATCAAGTGTGTGTAAAAAATCAGATAAGAATAACTTCTTTACGATGTAAAGAAGTGTATCATGAGTATACAAAGGCGACCTCGTGTCAACTTTTATCGAGATGTCAAAATATATTTTTGTAATCCTAAAACGCAACGAAACGGATTTTTCCAAAAATTATGTAATGGGCTGTTATAAATGTTATACATTAATTTAAATTACCTGCATTAATGTGAAACCTATGTAGGCGTGGTTTTCCAACATTATTTTCTTGTGAATTCAATATTCATATTTATTTTTTAGTATTTGTACTTCTTTGGATAGGAGCAGAGTAGGCCTAGTAGCTTCCTCTGTCTGCCTACCTGAAAAACCTTTTAAGAAAACCCGCATGCCTGAGACCTAAAAATCGACGTGTGTCAGACACAAAAGACCCGGTAAACATTTTCAGCAACTCCTTGGAGACCTTTCGCCGAGTCGTTTTAGAAACCATGCCGTGTTTTTTATTATTATTATTTTCATGATTCCTACATAATTATGTATTTGCAGTGTATATGCGCGGATGGTTGGTGAACCCATGCGACTTGTTCTATACTTATATATAAGTGTCCCCCTCGTGAGTTGTGCTGCGAAATTGAGGGCTACTCGATTTTGAGGAAGTTGCATGGATCTGGTTAGCGGTGCGCCTTCTTGAGAACTTAAGTTGTCATGTTATTTTCACACATGTATATCCATTCTATAAATAATAATATAATATAACACATTTTCATAAGTATCTGATTGTCCTCCTTGTACGTGATGCTTGTGATCAAAAATAAAAAGACTGAGGCGATCTCGAGTCGATCGGCGAGTCTTTTAAGAAAAACTTAAATGATCACCAATTCTTTTATTTGAGTCGCAAATCCAGCGTAGTGAGTGTAATTGGTTTTGATAAGGATTAGTATAATTTTTAAATTGGGAATCATTAATTATAAATAAAAAGTTATTTAAAACAAATTTATCTTAAAAGGGCTTATTGTGATTCAATCTTCAATAGTATATCATGATGACAATTATTTAAACTAAAAGAGTGACAATTTTTTTAAGCGTTTACCTAGAATGATCAGTTCGTTTATTAGATTGAAAAATTAGTTATGTCTAGGTAATAAATAATTTTTTTTTATCTCATTAATGTAAAATAAAATTTGTAATTTTCCGTTAATTGTAGTCTTAAACATATTTTATAATTAATAAAAGGATAAAAAACTATAATACTAAAATACATACACTTATATATTATATTGTATCCTTATATATCCTTTTATGTCTAAATATCTAATTAGGGTAAAATAATTTTCTATATAACAAGGGCTTATAACAAGTAATGACTCAGTGAACATCCGAAACTATAACAACTGAACGTGTTTTGAAAATTAACTTTGGATTATAATAAATATGGAGACTTTGTTACAATTGTCTTTGGTGATTTTAATATTGTGTCATTCAGGTAAATATGAAACCAAATTACAACATTTTATGTTCTTTATCCTGGAGCATTTTGTTTTATTATTTCTTTTATTCTTTAATTAATTCGGCCATATTTTAATTTCAATTCAGTTGTTACTTAATATTTTTTCTACTTCGGTATTTGGGGACAACCGTATGTATATGTACAAATAAATTTAAAAAAAAAACTTTAAATTTATTTAATAAAGTTTATCTATTTATGTACATCTATATTCTTCTATGTTTATGTTTTTTTTAAATTAATAACAATAAAACTAAGTATCTCATAGCTATATTAAAGTATGTGTTGAAGTTATAGCTAAGCCGACATTCAGATGAATATGATGAATATTAAATCATTTATTTAAAATAATAAAATCAGTGGCGCTACAACCCTTTTTAAGTCTGGGCCTCAGATTTCTGTATCTGTGTGAATCTAATAGGCAAGTAGATGATCAGCCTCCTGTGCCTGCCACACGCCGTCGAGTTTTTGGGTCTAAGGCAAGCCGGTTTCTTTACGATGTTTTCCTTCACCGTACGAGCGAGTGATAACGCACATAAGAACATTGATGCACAAACGGTAATCGAACCTACGACCTCAGGGATGAGAGTCGCACGCTGAAGCTACTAGGCCAACGCTGCATTTTTTTTGTATCAACAAACCTTTATTCTTTATAACGATAAGATGTTCACTAACGTAGTACGTTTATATTCATACTTATAATTACAATTATTTTATTACAACATACATTATTTATTTGTAGTATTGACAGAAACAAAAATAAAGAGGTTTCCAAGGAACGTACCCAGTAGTTTTGAATCTGTGGATATATGCAATTATGAAATTCCATCAAAAATCAATTTTCACAGCAACCACCATTCAATAAGTATTCGAAGTAAGTATTATTAATTACCACTTCCATCCTTATAATTTTTAGAACTCCACCATCGGACGCGTGCGCGCAGTGAGTATCCATGGAAATATCACTTCATACTAGGTAGGCCCGATTGCTTCTGGTATATCATGACTAAAATTGATATATATTGAGTTTAATTAATCAATCAAAATCAAAATCAAAATCAAAATACGTTTATTCAATTTAGATGCTTCTTAGAGCATGCTTATGAATGTCAACAACGTTTACAAAATTCACGAAAGAGCAAGACTACGCCATCCGTTCGCAAAACTACCAGGAGGCCTTGTTCTGAGAAGAACGGGCAAGAAACTCAGCAAGTTTGCCCTCCCTTTACATTACAATTATTCAAAGGAAAATGTCATAAACCACAACGTCATTAAAATTACATAAGTAAAAAAAAAAAAATCTGTTCTGTGATTTACCACATTCACCATTACACATTAATGGTTATATACTCGTGTGATCTGCCTCCAAAACGATTTCATTGTGATACTAATTACGTTTTTTTGTAGAGTGTGGCGAATATTTAGCAGAGGTTGAACTGCGTGAGCGACAACGAGAATTCAATAAGAAATGTAAGTGTTTCAAAATTTAAAAAAATAAAATAAATCAGTGGCGCTGCAAACTCTTTCGGTCTTGGCCTCAGATTTCTGAATCTGTTTCATGATCATTTTTAAATCTAATAGGCAAGTAGGTGATCAGCCTCCAGTGCCTGACACACGCCGTCGACTTTTTGGGTCTAAGACATGTCGGTTTCCTCACGATGTTTTCCTTCACCGTTCGAGCAAATGTTAAATGCGCACATAGAAAGAAAGTCCATTGGTGCACAGCCGGGGATCGAACCTACGACCTCAGGTATGAGAGTCGCACTCTGAAGCCATTAAGCCAACACTGCTAACTGTTTTAAAATTACTGTTTATATACCATGTAGGTAAACAAGTACACTTATGAACGTCAAAAAGAAGTTAAATTAATTGTAAATTTACATTTACTACCAGTTCGCAAGTCAGGGGCGGGTAAGAAGAACTGGCAATAAACTTTCCGCCACTCTTTTTAATCGCCAAGTATTGAGTCATACAAATTGTTTCAACTGGATTAACCACAGTAACAATAAAAATTAGGTCAATTGACTCGATCAGAACATTTCCTGATAATCCAAGCATTCCCTGGCATATTTTTAATAGATCTAAATGTCCCACTATTAATTTTTAGGTAAGAATCAGTGGACAGTTGAATCTACGCCGGAATATTCTCATATGGTAAGTCTCATTTATTAACTAAGAAAATTATTAAAATGCCATTAGCGCTAATAACCTGAAAAAACTCACATACATATCCAAATTACTATATATTTATCCGTTTTTATATATTTTTATTGGGCGAAACACAGAAGATGTTCGTTACCAATTTTCAAAATTATGTACTTAGTTCGACTAACACTCTCATTCTTAGCCAAATTAAGCTTGATACATTAAAAAACCAGAATAATTGTTATTCCTTTAAGCCAAGTGGATAGGCGCTCGAGTCTAAACTTTGGGATCGCAAGCCCGAAAATCAGCTGCACACTGTGTAGTTCTATAGCGCAATGAATGCGGTGAAGGCACGTGAGAATTCAGCTTATCCAAGACTCAAACCAGTGCTATGCCCAGAAGTAGAGACTTATCCAAATAAAAATCACCAATGAAACATATATAAAAATCTTAGGCCAATTTGAGTCAGTGAAAATTTCAGTTTGTCGCGTCAATGATTTTCTATTATATCTCCGTATGTGAATGCACAATGTATAAAACCCCTTCGGAATTATCGCCTCTGCGCAGATGATCAAGGAAAAAGGCACGTTACTCTCAACACATTATGCAATCTGCTTTTGATGGTAATGAACGGTAAAAGATATTTATTCCTGATTATGAAAAAAATAACTCACAAAAGAAAAGATAAACATGCTATAGAAAATCGTGAGCTACTTCAGACTGTCATACAAGAATCAGCACAAGAGTAAATAAGTAAATAATATGATAAATTTTATTATAAAGTCCCTCAAATAGAGCTTTGTATCTCCTATAAAATTAAAATTAAATTTTACTATAAATAATTCGTTATAATGTGTAAGAATTGGGAACCCTTGTACCTGTGCCCTGGTACAGATCTTTCATAACAAACTTAATAGGAAATTCCATAACAATTTTTTTATTTCCAATTACAGTTTTTTACCGTTTATAATAGGCTTGAGTACATAAATGAGTGTGTGGGTGCAAGTGACTGAATTAGTGAATGTTTTGTGTAACAACATCAAGCATAATTTGATTTGTAGGTATTAACCTCTCACAATCTCAATCTCTTTTAATTATGTTTTATAGGGCAGTGGTGTCAAACTACTATACTGTTAGAACCAATTTTTGCGTCTGATACATTCATATCACGTTACAAACATAGCATATATTTGCGTACAGCCGGCTTTCGAACGCATGACCCTGATTGTGAATTCTACTAAACAAACACTTTTTCTTTACTTTATTATATAAAAATGATTACAGGCAGCAGTTGGTTTAGAAACTGGGAGGCGCAGTTTCAAATTGCAATGTGCTGGAGCCCTTATCAGCCCCAACTTTGTATTGACAGCTTTCACTTGCTACTTGTATCCAAACAAAAACCATACAGTCTCACCAAATATTGTCAGACTTGGCACTGCAAATATAAAGGTAATATAAACTTAATTTAATGATACATGTTATGCTCTAAATATGTATATGTATAAAAAAGGGAAGATACAAAAACCCTTTACTTACTGAGAACTGATTCCACCTACATCCAGACTAAAGTTACATCAATCAGGACCATTGACCTCCTCCATAAAAATATATAATAAATTCCCAGAAAATTTGAAAATGAAACAAATAACCTGAGGTTTACCAAATTTCTTAAGGAATTATTATATAAGAAATGTTATTACACTGTTACAGAGTATCTGACTGATAGATTTTAATGTCTTTATAAAAGTTAAGTTTATAAATAATGTTAAGTACCTTTTCGCAACGTGAAACCACAGTAAATATACTAAATGTACCAAATAAATAATGTATCTTATAATAATAGGAATGTATAAGAATAAAATGAACTATAATAAAGCATGCCCTCTCACATCATTGCTGTGCCTAGCCAAGGTCCATATTCATTATTGTAATAAATTATGTACATAAGGAATGCAATAAAGATTTGAGTTTGAAAATAAAAGTCGAGGACCTTCATCGGGATTAAACATCGATTTAATTATTTATTATATTAAGTTGATTTTGGATTCCTTGCTTATTGAGTTCCATAGTTATTGCAAAGACGATACTTGTACGGGTTTGGTAGGCATAGATTTTTTGCGTCATCTGGTGTTAAGTTATACCGCTGCCCGTACACTCTTAAAGTTAGAAGGCTCGCAAGTGCGTTGCCAACCTTTTAATGGCAATGGAATGGGAAGGATGCTGATTACCTGATATATGAAGAAAAATCATCGATTAAACAATCGAAATGGGTTTGTTTGATGATACTTTTAGTCTACTGGGTAAATGCAAGGTCATTCCCCCATATCAAATGCATAAATGGGATAATAAAATAATTTAGAATAATAGTATTTATAACTGTGTCATGTATATGTAAACATTTCAGAACCAACACAAAACGGCTGTAAATATAGGAATTAAACGCATCATAAAACATCCCATGCAGAAAGATATTTATAATGATCTGGCCCTCGTTGAACTTAGCAATGCTGTAAAATTCTCAAAGTACATCCAGCCGGTATGCTTATCAACTGTTGCGGAGATTTCCCATCGGCCTATATCTGTAACTGGATGGAACTTTAGGAGTAGTAAGTTATTTAATAATTATAACTCACTATGGCCTGCGCCAGTTAATGTAAATCCATAGACAACACGTAGAATCCACTAAAATATCTGATGATCAAAAACCATAATTTTCAGCTTCAACGCCATCGTTTTGTTTTGTTGGCGGAATATAATATTATAAAAAACACACTTCAGTCAAAAAAAAGTTTACATCGGCAGTTTCAATATTTTTTAGTATCATTATTATTATGTAGGTAGACTAGCAGTGTTGGTTGGTAGTGGCTTACACTCGCATTTCTAAGGTCGTAAGTTCATGCCCCGGCTGTGCAGCAATGGACTTTTTTTCTATTTGCGAATTTAACGTCAAGGGAAACAACGTGAGGAAACCGGCTTGCGTTAGACCCAAACGTCGACGGTGTGTGTCAGGCAAAGGAAGCTGATCACCTACTTGTTTCTAGATTGACAAATGATCATGAAACAGATACAAAAATCTACCCAGTCCTAAAAAGGTTGTAGAGCCACTGTGTTCTGTTTTGATGAGAATGTAGAACAAAAAACCGATCGTGAATAATTGTGTGTCTTGTGTGGATTGGATAACTGGACCAATTACAATCAAACGAAACTTGTGTGCTCATTTGTCTTAATAAGTTCTTAACTGAGTATGATTCCTGAGAATAATCAGGCCATTATCAATGTGTTTAATCTACAACAAATACATAGTAAACATGTCAATGTATGTGTCCCATAGCTGGCCTGATAGACGACTCGTGTCGTAATTTTTATCTGTGAGAACTTTCATGACACGAAGTTTAAATTTAACTATTATAAGTTTGCATTTAAAGCCCATTATAAATCTGTTAAAATTATATTCAAGCCGAGATATTAACCAAGCCTTCATTTGAAGGATCTGTATCAGGAAATTAGAGAACGAACATTGAAAAAAAAAATTATAATAATACATAACTTTAATCCGGTTAAAAAGTTTTTTCTTTAAATGTGTAAAGGTTATGTCAATCAAAGACAATACTACGAACATTGAAGTTTTAAAGAGCATTATCTTAATTAAATTCAAGATATTAAATAGACTAGGCAAGAATTCATTAAGAAAGATACTTTTTTTACATTTTCAGGTAAAAATATATACAAACCATTTAACTCTACATTGCAGTCGGCCAACATACGTAAATTTGATAAAAATTGTTTTGCAAAGGATACTAAAACAAACTTTAACCAGAAAATGTTTTGCTCTGATAATATAAATATAGATGGGATCGCATCTTGTCCGGTAAGTCATCCATTTAACAATACCAAAGACTATTTTGATTATCATTTGTAGCTAACACCTGGAGGTAAAATTTGTCATCTGACGTTGAGGTCAAATTTAGAATTCCATTTGTGGCCAGTATTGTACATCCGAGTCAATTATTTGTATGAGAAATATTAGTTTTGCGTGAAACCAATAGTAATTTAATTTTTTAGACCTTTATCCTTGAAGTCGGTTTTTGTCAGAAATATTCTGAAACATTAGATTTTTGTATAATGTAGTCATCCTTCTGACTGTGCTACTGCTGTATTTTTGAAAAAGGGTAGTACTTCTACACGTAGTAAATTTTCATTAAAAGCTTCGCCGAGCTACTCAAACTTTATGGGTTTTGGATATTGTTCATCGCTTACAACAAAAGATCTACCAATAACAAAGTAAAAGTGATTTCTCTATTTTTAACTTACTTTTTTTCAGAGCAATTACGGCAGTACTCTGCAAATTAATTTGAATGTCAGTAAAAATGAAGGTGCTTTATATAAACTATTGGCGATTATACCTCCGCAAAATAATAAAAATTCAGCAGATACATGTAAATCGAATGAGGTGATATATATTGAAATAAAGCCATATCTAAATTGGATTGAGCGCAACGTGTGGCCCTAATAGTTTAAGTGAAATGTTTGACGATAGAATTGTTCATTTCTTCTCCGATGTACGTAGTAATAAATGAGGAACGTCACTGTTATAAGACTAGTACTATTCCATAAATAAATATAGAAGTACAAATTCTTTGTAATTATTGTAAACAACTGTGAACAAAACAATAGATAGACTTTAGAATATATTTATTGAAGATGATAAAAATATAATTATAGTAGTTTTTAATATATTATAGTAAAAACTAAACTAAAACTAACTATTTTAGTAGTAATTAAGTGAACATGGTATATATGTATAAACTATAATGACTTAGGTAGCTGTAACTGTAAATATTAATGTAGTAAACTATAATTTAAAATGTAGGGAATCTCTTAGAGATAAATTCAAGTAAATTAATATACTTACCTTTCCCTCGCAATATATTTATGAAAATATTATGTATGCATACAAAAATAGTGATAAGTTTACTAGAATAGAACATACGCACAATGTTAATACACGGAACAAACGCAGGCTGCAATTTTCCCGAATTAGACTATCTAAAGGTAGTAATACTTTTTTGGGAAAAGGGATACTCTTCTTTAATAAAATCCCAGAGGCTATTTTATCTCTGCCTTTTAATAAATTTAAGAAATGTAGTAAAGAAAAGCTGTGTAAAAAGGCTTACTATAAAGTTAACGATTATCTAGTTGATAAAAGGGCCTGGGACTAGTGCTAGACAGGCTACTTCTAATTAATTTGCGATATTTGTTTTAAAATAAGTGTTGTTTGATGATTTGCTATTTTAAAAGAGTACCGAGAGTTTTTTACGCGGGCTTTTTCTCTCGGCCTACACCCTCAGTCTTCTTTGCCGATGAGTAGGGATGCCTACAAATTCAAATTTAATGACGTGGAATCAGTGATACATGTATCTTATGTTCCATAATAAACATATTTTATTTTTATAAACTTCAGAATATATTTTATTGTACATTATATAGTGTTTTATTTTAATAAAATATCGCAATCATCAAGAAATTCCAAAACCATCAGGAAACCATTGATAACTAGTCTCTAAAATGTGTGAGACCTTAAGATATTCTACACAAAGATAGATAAGATATTCCACTAGAAAACATCCCAAATATTTTGAACTACTGGAAAAATATATAAAATATCGAAACTTCTGCAACAATATTCTATAGAACCTAAAAGATTCACGAAAAAAGCACGATTAGGCACAAACCCTATGGGAGTAAAGAGTATCAACACATCGGCCCAAAGGGGTGTTCCAACAATGTCAAGTAATCTCCGATTCCGTGGTATTAGTGAATAAAACTTTTTTACAAATATATTCAATAGCTCAGCTGAAAAGGCTATCATCACATACACACATCTAAGGAACAATTAGCAAAAATTATAGAAAATTCAATCCATCCAAGCCCTCCAATTTGATACATCATTCAGACGTAGAAGAAATACTTGCTACTGTTAGCAAACTTAAGACCAACTCAGCTGAAGGTTGATACAATATAGGAGCCGAATTGATAATCAGACAAAAAGCCAATCTAGCGGCTCTTTTAGCCTATCCATGCAACCTTATAATCTTGAGTAGCAGCTATGAAGCTACCTAATGTAACTCCAATCTCTCAGTCTGGAAACAGAATGTAAGTTTCAAATTACAGACCAACATCCCTATTTCCAGTTATAGCCAAGATCCTAAAACGAATAGTGACCATGTGGCGACTCTCATTTCTGGAAAAACAATTACTCTTCTCTGACAACTAATTCGGATTGAGGAAACAAAGATTAACTAAAGACACTGTCACTATTCTCACTGAGTTAATGAGTGAGAAATTGGATATAAGAAATCGGTGTATTTTTAGACCTTGCAAAAGCCTTTGACACGGTCTCTCATTGTATCTTGATTCGTAGAATGGAATTGTTAGGAGTAAGAGGTAGCTAGGTAGCTTTGCAATTGTTTAAATATTAGGTATATATGACCAGTGCAATCTGCCACTAGACAATGGAATACTTTACTCGTATGGAAAGTACTAAATATCTACACCATATAACTTAAGAAAAGCACATCGCTGCTGTCTTCTAGGATCAGAAAGCTAATATGATAAACTTATTTTAATTCACTAAATTATTAGCGGAGGACGATGTTATTAGAATAATGTACTAGGCGGTTTGTCAGTCTACTGTCTTCCTGCATGGGGAGGAATGGCTGAATCTACACTAATTAAGTTGGAACATGCACAAAGAAGAGTAGCCTATCGCAAATCGTATATCCTACAGTCAAACTCCACCGAGAAACAAAAATCTTTTCATTAAGAAATCTATTTATCTTGGCGACCTGTTTATGACAATCTCCACGGACTAATCAGTTCAGACACAGAAATTTTAAAATTACGAAATCATCTTTTTTAATTCCCGATTTCAAAACGACGGACTGTGTTTGGACAACACCTTTTTTTTAATAAAACACTATTTTGACCGGATTGAAGTTATGTATTATTATAAATTTACAACTATTTAACATAATTTTAAATTTATCCGACGTTTCGCGTGCTTTACAGCGTGCGTGGTCACGGTGACTGCACGCTAATAATAATATAATAATACATAACTTCAATCCGGTCAAAATAGTGTTTTATTAAATGAATAAAAGTTATGTTAATCAAAGACAATACTATGTGCAACACATTTTTGAGTTTACCACATATAAAATAAAATCTCCCCATTGAATTATGGATTCTGCGATACTCTAACTATCCAGATATAAACTCACAAAATACATTAAAAAATACGATTTTTGATTACGATTCTACAGAAGCTTTACTACATGTGTTGTCATGACTCAGATATTGCAAAAACTAACCCAGCTTATAACAACTGTCAGCTATACATACATCCAATTACATACTCATACTTAATGTCATACACGGTTTATGGTTGCATTATTTTTAGCATTAAGAGAAAAAATAATTCCATATATCACTTATAATCCTTTTGGATGGAATGGATCACAACCATATTTTATTATGAAGTTTATTATTGTTATTAATCATTCAATTCTTAAAAGTTCAGCAACACAGTTGCTAGCCTTCTGGTAATGTACGGCGGCGGTATCACTTAATATCATATGAGCCTATGGCTCAGCGTTACATAGTTCGTCCCCAGTTATAAAAAAAAATCATATACCAGTACTAGTGATATCACAACATTACCAATTTGATACAAAATATATCTGAGGATATAAAGCTTGCTAGAGCAAATCTAATGCATAATACGTAATTAATAACCAGTTTACAAGGTCAACGTAAAATGTCAAGACGGTTTATCATTTTAGTTATATGGTTTAATAGTCTTATCTCTATCAATATCTATAATAAAGTTATTGGCGTTCTAACGCCTAAGCTCCGAACCCTAACTGCTATTTTTTATAAACGCTAAAAATAATTATTGTAGTAGTCCATTTAAAATAGCTCGGCACATTGACCGAAGACCGGGTGTTCGATCGGCCAAAAAGTTTTGTCCGAGGGCCGGTCAGCGAAGCGTTGGATAGCCTCCCACTAGGTGGACTGACATGGTGACGGTGGAAGGCGTTGGATGCACGCAGAACCGGTTGTAAAGGTAGGAGAGTGGGCTATATCCAGCAGTGGACGTCAACAGGCTGAAACTACGACAACGAAATCACCAACGTATCTAAAACTGTTTATGACCTACTTTTGAGAGTTATGTTATGTTATACATATTTACAATACTCATAATATACACAGACAGGAAATTTGTTTTATTAATTAGGACAACAGTTGTAGTACAACGTCATCCTCATCCATATAAGGAAGAATGCAATTTATGAGCTAATAATAGCATATAATCGAATGCAACGCAAAAATTGTATTACTCTATATAAATATGTGCATTTAGATGTCATATTTGCATAAACAATGAGCGGCTTTGTTCATCAGTTTAGGGGTGAGGAAATGAAGAGTTATACGGATCGCACGTTTCGATAGGTTGTGATTGGTTAAGCGATAATAGATGGTGTCGCAATTTTGTCATTGGACTAAATAATCCTAATGTACATAATATAGTATAATGCTTGTAACGTTTAACTCGTTCAATTCCCAGCGAAACAATAAGTGTATTGGTAACTAAAGAATGCTGATCATCTACCTTCAAAAAAATATAACCTTTGTGTTTAAATAGTTCACTCGATTGCTTTAAAAAAAGTTTGTTTAAAAAAATATAATTATTAAATTAACACAGCTTACATGGATCTCTAAATAATAACACTTAATTTATTAGCTAACATTACTTAAGTATCTAAGTAAACTAAAGATTTTCCTTATAACAAATGTGCGGTCACCGACAATGCCCGCTTGTGGTTAATTAAATAATAATTATTTAATCATGTTCTATAAAATGTTTTTACTAACTTTAGTATGTTTAATTAGTGTGTGTGATGGAGGTAGGTTGTCACAAAAAATCACAGTTCCAATTCCATTTTTCTCAAAAATAAAAAATCGCCTTTATTCGAATAAGTACGAACGTAGGATTACATTGCAGTCCATGACATTATGTTTAACATGAGTACTCGACCTCCGACGGAGACTCTTCCAAATTTTTGTCTTGTCTCTTATCCTCGCCACTATTTTCCAATCCTTCCCTGCTATCGCTTTTATTCCATCATCCCAGTGGGTGTCCATTTTTTATATCTCTATGCCCCCAGTAATTTCCGATAGCAATAGCGATACAGATCCCGATTTTTTTTTGTGTATTTCGATTCGATCCTTGGGATCGCGTGGTTCAAGAACTCAGGCTCCAAATAGGCGAGGGCCAAATAATCGCCCTCAATAATCAACGCGAAATTACTTTTTCTCCATTAAATTGTATGTTATATTTGTAAAACACGATGTATGGCCGGAATTCACCGCAACACCCCGTGCCTTTAAAATTATACATCTTTAACTGTATCGCTGTAATTCATATCTGGTAAACAATCATTTAGAAAAATCGTTAAGTCGTATATATTTAGTTACTATACTACATGTCACTTTAATACTACCTACATATTTCTTTTTCAGAAGTTGATACCCTTGATTTTTCAAATAGTGATTTAGAGAGTATCATTTTGGAGGCATTAAAGGTAACACACTTTTTAATTATGAAAACCTCGATTTGTTATTTGTTTATTATATTCTATTATTTTATAATCAGAACAATGAAACTCTATCATCGGACTTTTCAAATGCAACAGATGAAGTATGCAAGCCTTTAGAATCCGTCAAGCCAGATTTCGGTAGGCCAGGGCAAAGCATAAGTGAAACAAGTATGTATTTGTTTGGATAGCGCATAACCTATTTGGAATAAGCCACATCCTCTTTAGCATTAAAGCTTCTTATGTATCGTGCCTTCAAATTTCGTAAATTTTCAAGACATTACATAAGTTTCTTGAAATACCTCCTCCCTACCAGTAAGTTAATTGCTAAGGGGCTGTCCATTAATCACGTGAGGTTAGAAAGGGGGGTATAGTAAGATATCAAGTGTACTTATTTTTTTCGTCAAACGCGTGATTTCTAAACTGAAAAGCGGCTTAGAAAAACGATCAATCAGTAGATCGAGAGAGATTTTCTGCGTAGTGCGAGTGATGAAACCGACGTTGATCTTCAACAAAGTACAGTGCCAACAACTGACTTACAAGATGCTTATCCAGTTGTTAGTATTGAAGAAAGTCTTCTTAATCCGTGGCAATGTATATTCAATATGTTCATGTACAATATAATATGTTTTTCGCATGATTACACCATTCCTTTAATATTATTTTTATGCCAGTCAAAAACGACCTGCAACCTTTCTGTCTATACATTTTTATCATGGTTCTTAATTTTCTAGAATAGGATTACATTATACTTTACTTTACCAGTTCTTAAAAATAATATTATAAAAAATTTAAGATTCTTTGTAGGTAGGTACTAAAAAATACACGTGATTTTTGGTGGGGGGCGGGGGGAGTCTCAAACCTCACCTCGTATCACTATGGGGGAGGAAGGGGTTAAAACATGTAAAAAAAACATCACGTGATTTATGGACAGCCCCTAACAAAGAAAGTCATTTGAACGCACAATCCATGACGCCTAAACCGAGGAAACGCATATAAGGCTAGTGGAGGCTAAATACTAAGCATATTTATTGCTGAGCAGTGTTGGCCTAGTGGCTTCAGCGTGGGACTCTCCTCCCTGAGGTCGTTGTTTCGATCCCCGGCGGTGCACCAATGGACTTCCTTTCTATGTGCGCATTTAACATTCGCTCGAACGGTGAAGGAAAACATCGTAAGGAAACCGACACGTCTTAAGACCCAAAAAGTCGACGACGTGTGTCAGGGAAGGCTGATCACCTACTTGGCTATTAGATTGAAAAATGACGATGAAACAGATTCAGAAATCTAAGGTCTGGCACCTAAAGAGGTTGTAGCGCCACTGATTTATTTTTATTTATTTTAGAAACATAAATCTATATCAATTGGTTAATGGTTACTAAGGAACTATGTTGTTATATGTTTAATGAATTAATTAACCCAATGGCAAGCTCCGTGGAGGTGCGGGAAGGAGGTACTGGTCTCCATTCTTATGATCTCTTAAAAAATATCGTATTATCGTTTCAGAATGCTTGCAATACATGTGGGAAGTGAAAAACTTAAAAGATCAAGACAAAGCAGACGAAGATTGTAAGTTTATTGTCGTTAAAATACCCGTAAATTTTGCTTCTATGTAGCATCTATTGCCTCCGTAGTTAAGTTGTCACGTCGTTTCGGTGTTTGATTATATTCCGTAAATAATAGGTTCAATAATAATATAAGTCAAACATTAGTTTAAAAGGACACTAATAAGAATTATTTGTAATACCATATTTACAATTTTCTTTACCTACAGAGTAATATTTAAAATCAAATTAAATCAAATTTAAAAAGTTTGGTCCCTGTGGCAGTGTACCTTTAACATTTCCTCGCTGTATTGCGATACTTAGTCGTTGAGCGAGGAAAGCACCAGCTCTGAGGTCAATTTGGACCTGACACCTGAGTCACCGAATTTGAAGGAAAGACTCTTATTTGAGCCGTTTATTATTTTCCGCCTGCTCTGCGGCCGCCCTTGCTATTTTGTTTTTTGCTTGTCCGAGGCAGGTGAGACGGGGCAAACGTCTCCACACAAGTAGCATCCCATACCAAAGCCCGTCCCATCTTCCAAAGGATCCAAGATATCCCATCCGGCCGCTTGCCATACTTACTTACTTTGTAATACTTGGAATGATTTGATTTATAATTGAAAATTGTTTGGACTTGCTTCATTATTTAACTTTTTACTTTAATTTGCTCTGAAGTAAACAAGAATAATCCGTGATAATTTATTATTTATTATTAATAATTTATATACGGGAGATGTGAGTTTTAGTATTTTCAATTGTAAGTTCAACCAAAGTGTTTTTTTAATACGTGACAACTCTTTTATACTTAATCAAACTTTTATTAACATATTAAGGGGAATTTATTTTTTCAGGCCGCGTTTATCTCATATCTCAAATAAAGCGCGGTGTAATTCCTGAAATATTAATATTTGTCCCTCCATCAGTCATATTTGGTGGAAGGGATGCTAAACCAGCTGAATTCCCTCATATGGTACGTACTTAATTGGGAGTAATTAATTTAAAAGCGATTTTTAAGAAGAGAAAACACCTTACTGCAACTTTTGTATTTTGTACAAAAACCACATTCGCTTCAACTATATCTGGGTGTCATATTTCTGTATCTATTTCATGATCATTTATTTTTCTTAATACACAAGGTAGCCTTCTGTGCCTGACACACGCCGTCGACTATTTTGGGTATAAAGCCGGCCGGTTTCCGCACGATGTTTTCCTTCACCAGTGAGTGTTGAATTAGTCGGAACCTGAACCTACGTCCTCAAGAGTCGAACCCAACGTTGAGGTCATGTGTTCTAATCACGCCTGCACCAATGGTTAACATTTATTCATTCGGTAAAGATAAACATTATGATGAAACCGGCATGTCTTAGACCCTATCGTTCTCGACGTGTGACAGGTACAAGAATAATCACGTACTAGACATTAATATTCTATCGATGGAACTATGGAAGGTTTCACTAACGATTGGACGCTTCTATAGTTCTAATATAGGCACTAACTTGTTATGGTAATAGCCAGATATTAACTTGTGATAAGGCAAATAATTAAACTTTCTTATTATTATTAATGATCAAAGAAATTGATGCCATCTGAGGCTAATAGGGCTGTAGCGCCACTTTATTGTCATTTGTATTAGTTAGTCATTAGCGTCACGTAACGTAAAGAGAGAGTTATTGACCAAATTAAGCTCTTAAATTTTTGTTAGTTTACACAAATGAGGGTAAAATTTTTGCGGAACGTCACGAAGATGTGCAGCGTTTTTGTCGAAGAAAAAAAAAAGGGAGAGAGCGATTGAAAGCGATTGAGACCGATCGAGAGAGAGAGTGAGAAGGGCGAATTACCTTATAGAAATTCTATTTTTTAAATTAAAATTTCGTAAAGAGAATTTTATATTCTATGCAAAATAATTTATTGAAATCACAAATGACGAATTGTAAATTAAAATGCCACGTGTTTTTATTATCGAAGAAATAAATTGAATTTATAATTTGAATAAATTTTCGACACTTAATATTTTAATGACAATTATATTCATTAAATTCCTAATTTATCTTCCTTTTTCCCTCTCTCTAAGTCTCGGAAATCTAAAGATTTAGATTTGTATAAAATGAACAAGACTTAAAAATTAGTTTACCAAAGAAGTTTTACTTTTGACATGTGTACTTTGTACGCACGCACTTTTTTTAAACTATTTCTAATGAACATTATCAATGGTTATTTTTGTTCTTATTTACCAGGAACAAAGCCAAACTACCATAGCTAGACTGTATTCTTTTTTATTACCAGGGAGCCATAGGATGGCGAGCGAAAGATGAACCAAAGTGGCATTTTAAATGTGGAGGATCATTGATAAGTGAAAAATTTGTTGTAACCGCTGCCCATTGCACTTGGCTTTCATTACATAATCATCATGACGTCAGTGCTAATGCACCGGAAGTTGTGCGATTTGGTGTAGAAAATATACAGGATGACGAGGTTGTATTAAGCTATTAGTACTACTAGTGTTATAATGTTATTAAATTCATTGTTAATGTCACAGCAATTGTTTCCGAATGTGGCTAGTACTAAAACATATTTTCACACTTAATCTATGAAACTTTAGTATTCATACAGATACCGGCAAACGTCTTGAGCATTAAACATGGGAGTGGGTCAAAGTGTGCGCATCGCAAAGGAACATGGACGCAGCGAGGGACACAAACGTCAACTGATTTACCAACGCGTTCGACACGTCTTTCTCCCGCCGCCGCGCACTACCGTCCGCCGCAGTGATACCTAAAAATCGCTTCTGCGCAGACAAGGATATTTGTTCAAGATGTTTGCCAGTATCTGTACAGGCATTTGTAAAATAATTACTGAATTGAAACGGTGCCGGCAACTCAATTATATAAACTACTTCATAAGTCTTTCTTTCGATTCCTCATTTGTTAATTTTCATTTCATTTTTTTGAACAAACATTTAACGTTTCCGTTTTTCAGTTTAATTTATACGGAAAACCTATTGACGTGATAATTAAAAATATAATTAGACACCCGCGGTATAGGCCCCCTCGGAAGTATTTTGATATAGCGTTATTGGAGTTAGACAGCAAGGTCAAGTTCAGCCTCCAAGTACATCCCGCCTGCTTGTGGACGAAGCCATCCACGCGTGAACTTGGTACTAGAAGTATCCTCACCGGTTGGGGTCTCACAGAACATGGTTAGTATTCAAAGTGTATAAGATCAGAAAAGCCTAATTATAAGCTGTATTTCGGTATACAACTTCTTATTGGAATACAAGATTATTCGTATGTAATTATTGTGTACTTGTCAAATTCCTTGTTATTATGATTGAATCATCAAGACAAAGCCACAAACACAGTTTCGTTAGCCCATATATAAATATTTTTATTGCAGGAAAACCATCAACAGTCCTTCAGGTTGCTGCGGTGGATGTGTTGAATACTAAAAAGTGTAACTCCCTCTTGCACAGCTCCTGGAATAGAAACTGGCATGGCTTTGCTAAGCATCAGTTATGTGCTGGCAATTTAACTGGAAATGTTGACACATGTCAGGTATTTTACTAATTTTGGTCCTTGTTGGTTCAAATTTTCACAACAGTTACATTTATTCATACGTTATCAGACATTGCCAGGCATGGAAATCATGCAACAACACTGGTGACATCTTGGTTGGCTATAGTATGGCTTTTAAGTATTGATGCAATTTTTTATTCAAACGTCAATTTGAATAAAAAAATAAAATTTGCGTTACATTACTTTGTTCTTTTCTAAAGGCAAAAGTGAACGAAGTGTATCATATATCTCCTGAACAACATGATTAATAACGCACTATACTACGACCTTAATAATTATTTGACCATGAAATCATGAGTAAATTAAATTCCAGGGTGATTCAGGAGGTCCTATACAAGTGAAGATAGAATCTGGATCGAATTCGTCTATAAATATGGTAGTTGGCGTGACTTCATTTGGGATCAACTGTGGACAAAAGCATCGACCCGGAATTTATACAAAAGTTTCAAAGTTCATAAAATGGATAGAAAATAACGTATGGAATAATAATGTTACGGAAAGCAAAGAAACTAAAGTGATGCCATCACTTTTTAAGAGGAAGAATGTGACTTTGAGTGGTGGTCGGGTGACATTTTAACCAAATAATCTGTGCCATAAGAGAAAGAGAAGGAAAGACAAAACAAAGAAAAAACTAAGATAACCGCTACTTAATATATTCCTGGCGAGTTTATAAGAATAACACATAATTAAATTCAAATTGTTTTTATTAAATAAATAGCACAATTTGATTTTTTTTATCATAACCCTCTCCAGACCACATCTTCTATCCAGTCAATAAAGCTGGCGACCCTTGTGTATATCCCAGGAATGTTTTTCTGAGCACAGCCAGCACCAAAGGATGTGATTCCAATAATGTAGTGCATTGACCCCTGTGACTTTACTGGTAAAGGTATCTTTACCTGCAGAGGTCCACCTGAGTCACCCTGAAAAAACAAATATTCATATAAATACGCTCTTAAATAGGATGTATTTTTACAGACAATTACCAATAATACTTTGTATATTGAAGAATGAAGCCGTTTCTACTATAACATATTATGTTTATTTCCGTTTTAATATCATTAAAGCTTTAATAAAGAAACAAACCAAGGCCAGGGCTGTGGTAGCTTTATAAAACCTAACCTTAATTTTCAAAAGTGCATTATGATTCATCATTACTCCATAAATCACAGGTTAACACACGTAATTTATCAGACGTCAATGTTGCAAAAAGAGACACTCCGAAGGTACCTGACAAGCGTCGACACCTCCAGCTAATTTTCCAGCACAAAGCTGATGCAAGTCTACCCCCCTCCAGTGGCGATTAAAATGGAGTCGAAGTAAACTTTGACATTCGTCTGAATCAATAATGTCGACATCCGCTGCTTGCAACTCTGGGGATGTCTTTTTTCCACCTGGAATTAAAAATGGAAAATAAACGGAAGAATCTTCTTATTTACAACAAATATGATTCATCTCTCATGATAACGCTCCTTTTCTTTCAGTTAAATTATAAACTTATAACAATTAATGAGGTTTGAATTGAGGTAATTCCTGCAAGATGTGTCTGACTTACTTGTTTCTACGACACCCCATCCTGTAAGTGTTGCCTTTGTTCCAAGTGAGTTTGTATCGTATTTGGTCCATAGACAAGCTGGTTGAACTACTTTTGTGAATGTAACCTCAGTCGTTATTTCAATAATCGCAATATCAAAATATTTCTTGGGCGCACTGTAGTTTGGATGTTTTACAATTCTTTTGATTTTCACGTCTTGTGGGTTGACGCCATTTGAAAACTAAATAATACAATATATTGTATTTACATAAGCGAGTAAGTACAACCAATTTAAATTAAGCTTCTTTAATAATTTAATTTTTAATTCTGTTGAACCAAATTTCGAGTTAATTAATTAAATAAATAAAAAATGGTCACATTGTCTTACTTACAACATCTACAATATTCTTATCTCCTAGTCTTACAATCTCTGGTTCATAGTTCGCCACACTAGTGTCACGTGGAGATAATTTAGAGCAGTGAGCAGCAGTGAGCAGGAATTTCGAACTTATTAATGTACTGCCGCACTTAAATATCCAAGTCCCAACAGCAGCTTTCCATCCTAGTGCACCCTAAAAAATCAGTATAACACTGAAATAATTGTAGTTTTACTTAATGTCTATCTCCTATAAACACGGTTAAACGAAAAATATGTCTTAATTTTATTTTATTTATTCAAAAACTTATTAAAACCAAGTTTGGTTTTAGTATATCAAGTAAAACACAGAATATACAAAGAATAGAATAATTCAGTTGAAGTTAGATCATCATTATAAATTCTACATTTATAACGGTATTTCTTAAATCTCTTTCTATTGATATATAGTTGTCCCTTCATTGCGTCAATCTTTGAAATATTTTTCCTAAACTAAAACATTGTTCTTCTTTTGGCCTTTCAATTATTTGTCGGCCGTCAGTCTCGTGAAGCGAGTCTTGTCCCGTGCCAGATGCAGAAACTCTTCCGCAATCGCAATATGCGTCATCTCCCTTCCAAAAGGAAGTGGTGGCAGCCATGGTAACCTAGGTACGCAATTTTGCGTTGTTTGATGATTTGCATAAGTTTATTCGACATTCCAACTCGCTTAAGAACTTTCTAGATTCTGCCTAAAACGGTGCATACGAAGATAACACCACATCTGAAATGTTTCTAAGCGCTGGCGGGTATCTTGTTTTATTGTCCAAGCCTCACAGCTGTACAGAACATTTGGATGCAATAAAGGAGAACCCAGACTCGGAGTAAAATGTTCAAGTGCTACCGCACTTGTTCTAACGTCTTTTCATCTACAGATAGGTTAGGTCTTAAAGTGTCGTTTCGAGATAACCATCACCGGTTGCACTATTTCTTTAATAATTAGACCGTCTCTCATTAATAGATTCTCGACTTCTAATAATATTTTCGTAAACGTAAAGTAACCAATCTATTTGAGAGATCATATCATTTGTTCTCTGTTATTGAATACAGTAATAAGAAATTTATTTTTTAAACTGACTGGAAGTACACACTTTAAATAATATTATATATACAGCTTTTGTATTTTGTTATCAAGCTGTTTCAAAAATCAAATTTGCAACGCTGCCACGTCATAAAAATTTGTTTACTTGGTTGTCAAAGAGCCGGGAAAAGATGGTATCGACCTGCTACTATTATCTACGTTTTCACTCGGCCTACCGGGCGCGCGGCAAAAAGTTATACGTGGCAAAAAAAAATATCATCAAAATTAAAAAAATTATCAGTAGTGTCACCAGCTCAACTTTATATAAAATTATTATTTCTAAATAATGCAAGTAAAAATTACATACCATGTGGGGAAATTCACCTGGAGTGGTGGGTCGACCAGCAATCACATGAGGAACGGCAGGTATACCACGTTGATTTTTTCTTATCCACTCTGAACCTTTAAATTAATTATTAATTGCTTTAATTTTACCAAAATATGTAAGGAAAAATTATTCCCCAAACTATATCCATACCTTCTCGTTCAGTTAAAAAAACACGAAACGAATATATATAAAAAAAATTAGTGGCGCTACAAACTCTTTAGGTCTTGGCCTCAGATTTCTGAATCTGTTTCATGATCATTTTTAAATCTAATAGGCAAGTAGGTAATTAGCCTCCAGTGCCTGACACACGCCGTCGACTTTTTGGGTCGAAGACATGTCGGTTTCCTCAAGATGTTTTCCTTCACAGCAAATGTTAAATGTGCACAAAAATCATCAAAAATAAAAAAATCAAAATACGTTTATTCAATTTAGATGCTTCTTAGAGCATGCTTATGAATGTCAACAACGTTTACAAAATTCACGAAAGAGCAATACTACGCCATCCGTTCGCAAAACTACCAGGAGGCCTTGTTCTGAGAAGAACGGGCAAGAAACTCAGCAAGTTTTGCCCTCCCTTTACATTACAATTATTCAAAGGAAAATGTCATAGAAAGAAAGTCCATAGGTGCACAGCCGGGGATCGAACCTACGACCTGAGGTATAAGAGTCACACGCTGATAATATATTTAAAACAACATTCATTAAAACTAAATCAGTCTAACTGCAGTCTTTTATCTGAAGTACCCTCTCGGCTCTTTCGGTCAAATTGTGTTTGTGTTGTGACGAATGAAACAGATAAGTACTTTTGTTAAACTATTTTTGGTAAACTATTTTTTTAAATAAGGGGTTGAGTTACTTTACTTACAGTTAGCAATTCTTGTTATGTCGTCCTGCCTTTTCTTTGTCTCCCAAATGTATTCATAACACTCTGAAATTTGAATTCATTTTAATATTGATAAATTCAATATTAATTCTAAAAATAAAATAAAGTCCTCGCTTACATCGAGCGTTTGTTTTCTTTCTGATTCGTTGGTTCGTACGGTTGGCTTCTTCTTTAAATGGTACAAATCTAAGATAACGGACGAAAAAGCCTGGCACCTATTAACCCGAAACAGTGATTATTTACCGGGGATGGAATTGTGGATCTCAAAGTTACGCTTTTTATGCGTTAACCAGAAAAGAAAGAAAAAAGAGTGAAACTCTTTATTATACGCAATATACAGGATATTTAGGTAAAGTAAAGTGCATCAGCCCCCAAACTAGGATTCTCTGTGTTGTGGGCAGCCAGTCTCTTCCCATTGACATGTTCACTGTATTTTACTTTATGATTTCTACATAACACATTATATTTAAACTATTTTTGCAAAATCCGAATCTTTTCTGTACCAGCACAGGTTTACAAATGTTGTTTGAGATTTTAAGTAAATGTATGTAATGTGAGTTTTGAAATGTTAGTGATAATTTTGTGGTGTTTAGAAACAACAACATAACAAAAGATGAAAGGACCTCGGAAGGAAAATAAGCGTGTTACAAAATTATAAGAAGTGATGGGAAATATATTCGAGATGTATCCAGTCTTCTAGTTCTATTAGAAAAGATAACATAAATAAATAAAATGAAGGTACAGACATATATTTAATCAAAGAGGAGTGATATGCCATAGAAACTTACTTGCTTCACTAATTCTTCGACCAGGCGCTGAGAAGTCAGGCTTAGGTGGTGCGGTACTGTTACATGGATTTTCGTATTCATCGGCTCGTGCTTTTCTTGTAATCTGAAAGTATATTTTTGTCCATAAATCGTTTATACATTGTAAAGCAACTTCAGAAAAATATGGTTTATATTATAAAATTATTCGGAATTATAGTCTATTGAAGCTTCTAAGCAGGCTAAATTTCGTAATGATTTACTGTTTGTGAACAAATTTCCGAAGAGTAATGTTGATCTCCTTTATTCTAATTAATTTTTTCGAACTAAACTCTTTTGAGATACAGTTTGTCCACAATGTTCCTAAGAGCCATTTGATCTCCTTTATTCTAATTAAGTTTTTTGAACTAAAAGTTTTTCAGATACGAAATAGGACATGTATGTATTTTTTTTTTATATTTGTTAAAACCACAACCTGCAATTCTTAATATGACAAGCACTAATAGGCAAACATGACATACACGAAGTGATTATACAAATATAAAACAAAACAATTAAAATAACAAAAACTAAACGAAAATCGAAATATAATATACGTACGTCATTTTAAGTCTTAAAGTTTATTACTTTTCCCTATAAATATCCCATGCCCAACATAATATAGTAGGTATAGCAGATAGAGAGAAATATTATTTAAACTTCTTAATTTGCAGTAATAGTAATATTTTGCTATTAAATTGTTTTATAACGTTATTGTTATAGGTGAAATAAATACACTAATATTAAATTTAGGAGAATTTAAATAAGTTTTGAATTTTCAATTAAAAAAAAAAATTATGTCACAAAGTACTTAACTTCCAAAAGAAATGAATAAGAAATCTTATGTTAGGCAACATTTTAAAAAACCCCTTAAAGAATCAAATCTAGAAACACATAATAATGTGCAATACACAATATATAGTAATAAATACATACTTGTCCCAAACTTGTATTCAATATGTTGGAGCCGGTCACGACATATATTACTGGAAAAACATCATAAATCAGAACACTGATCTCACATTATAACACTTCTTATTAAATAAACAAACCTTCAAACAACATTATTACTATTAATACTTTCATTTTAGCAATTTTAATCAAATTCAGTTATTTATTTGCTATGTTGCAATGCAATAGCTATGCTACCGTACACTGGTGTGAACTGAAAGTAACATAGCATTGAGTTGTAACTATAATAACAATCTACAGCGGTGATGCCCCGAACGATGGAATATTTTATGAAAACCTGTTTTATTGATAATAAAAGTACGCGCTGACCGAGAGAATTTATAAATAAAGGTTTAAAAAGGGCTTGAGGGCAGTTGTAATTTAAAAGCGCATACCAATCAATTCTAAATTTTAGTCTTGGTAGTATTCAAGGAGCCCTTTAGTTTTTCATTCATTCATAAATTATAATATAACATTCTCGTTTCTGAGAATGTCAAACAAGTCGACATCAGTTATTCGTTATAGGTAACAGATGTGTGACTTAGTTTTAATAATTTGAGTCAGTTTTTTGTTAGTCCAGCAACCGCAACCTCGCTATTCATAATTTTATGTTACTTATAAATACTTTTTTTAACAATTGACTCTTAGCTACGAACAAAGTGTTTCATTTATTTGAACATCCCTTGAACAACCGCCACCGAAATTAACTCGAGGCATGACTTTGAACATCCCCTCCGATTTAGTTTTTATGTTTTATAGTAGGATCATTTAAAATATTGTAATGTATACTTTATATAAACCACCCAAACTTTTAAAAAGATTAATTGGAAGATTGTTTAACTTTTTTATGAGTTCTCAAGATAATGGAGCTATATACATGACCGACCTAAAACACACACAAACATTGTAAGACTGTGTACATTCATTATAATTTAAACTTTAAATTTAAACGTTTACAGATTAAAAAAACGTTTAAATGCTTAAAAAGACTTTAAATAATCCGACTGCATAAAATTGATATAATACTTATGTATAAAAAATTAGTTTCAACCGACATTAGAAAAGCCGAATTATTAAATCGACGACTATTGTAAATCTACAATTAGGATATTTTAAACTTTAATATCGATTTATTTATACATATATATACACACATAAGGAAAAAAGAAAAGAAACTAGTTACTCAAACTGGAACACATGTGTAGCCTTGATAAAAGGTGCGGGCGGTTTCTTTTGCTATATTTACATGCACACTGCCACTCTGTGCAATAAAATATAGCAAAAGAACCTAAGAGAGTGATAACAGAATGCCCTTCCTATAATTAGATGGGCATTGGGCAGTTCGAAAAAATATCAAGGTGATCGATCTTACAGGGCCCTGCAACAGAATTTACCGCACGCATATTTATTACGTAATCCTACAGCTAACATAAATTATACATAACAAAAAACAATTAAACTTAAAATTTAGCATAATATGATACATAATTAATATAATATTCCAAAAGGCTCAAACATTTTCATAAGTAAAAAGTCAATAAACATCATTTGACTAAGTAATAACCGATTCGGCTGTGTTGTGTAAATGTAAAATAAAAATAAAATAAAATATGTTTATTATGGAACATAAGATACACGTATCACTTATTCCACGTCATTAAATTTGAATTTGTAGGCATCCCTACTCATCGGCAAAGAAGACAGAGGGTGTAGGCCGAGAGAAAAAGCCGGCGTAAAAAACTCTCGTTACTCTTTTAAAAAGGTAGAATGTGTATGTGGCGTGAGCTCATGATGCAGTTGATTTAGGGCTGTGGATATTCTTAATATATACAAGCATATCTAGGATTTTACATGACACTCTAGTATTCCAAAGTACTTCGCACAAGAGCATACATCCAATCATAGTACTGAGTTTGTTAAAAGCTTATCAGTTGCGTAAAATGAAACCCAGAGTTTTGAAGCTTTTCCTGATAATATTGTCGATTGTAAGTGGAAGTTTAGTTTACAGTTTTTTCTTCATATAACCAACGGGAAAACGGGTAGTATAGTACGGGAGGTAGCAACGTTTTCGAGAAAGAATTCCAGGTCAGCTGATTTTGTGATATGTCTTCCTTCTTTCACTTCATTCTAAAATACTTTGAAATTTTTATAAAAAAAAAACTTAAAGTCGCGTCTGGCACATAGTTAGCAATGTGAAAAATGTCTGGCAATAAAAAATATATGTCAGGTAGACGTATTTAAAAACGAAAAATTAAAAATTACGCTTCTTAAAATGCTTTTAAAATCCAGGATTATTACCTGGACAGATAGGATGCGCACTAAAGAACGCAACCGCTACCGCCAGCCAGACTGCCCAGACTCTAACCAAAAGTGCAAGAAGGAAGACATATCACAAAATCAGCTGACCTAAAATTCTTTCTTTTCAAACGTTGCTACCTCCCGTACTAGTAGGCTCATCTAATGTTAAGTGATTCCGCCGCACTTACATTGCAAGGGTTCGCAAGTACGTTACCGGTCGCTTAAGAATTGGTACTGTCTGGATAACAGATGTATTCCTATTGATAGATAATTAATTTAGTTCGTGGATTCTTGGATCATAACTAATTTTTTATTCTTTTATTTTGGAACCAAACACGGCAGTTTTAATAACATAAAACCTTGAAGCCTGACAATCGTAAACTACTTGTCGCTTTATTGCAGCTATTTTGACGTTGGTCTGCTCTTTCATTCCCCTCCACACCCACATGCACTTTAACCCAAAAAAGTTTAATTTTTTTGTTGATTAAACGCGCTTTATTTATGCTCTTAAGAATTTCAACTAGTCACTATATACGCCGTAGGTTGGCATCTATCTTAGGATGGTCTTGTTCTCTATAGGGCAAAAATTTGATATCAGGTTCTTTGGAGGTATGAGGAATACGTATCCACGATACTCTAGGTCACCTTCCAATTTACACTAAAATATTCCATTTCCTGCTTCGTATAAACCAGCGGCCTCTTGAATTTTAAGATCTAGGGGCAGTAGTCGCGTGAGGATCAAGAGTATGGTAAGCTCTATAGAGCTTCAGCGCAAAACCTCGTTGCACTGAATTTAATTGCTTCCGAATTCCTAGCTTTTTAGTGGCTGGAGCCGTTTGGGCTCCGCATATAGGATCTGCTCAATGACAGCTGTATAAATAATGTGAATTACATCTAAACCCCAGCCAATTCTCGCTGCCTTTGCTAATTGTTTGTAAATATTTGGTGCTTTCCTGCATATATTGGATATATTATGTTTATTAAATCTCAAATTAAGCTTAGCTTGAGTTTTTTGTGGAGCAAATCATCTATTTTTGGTACCTCAGTCTATTACATAGTCATTGTCTCTCATAGTCTTGAGAGACTTTTTTCATCTCTGCCAGCAATGAATCCAGCAATACAGAGTATTGGCCACCAGGGCCTGATAAAAGCTTCCTCTATTTCCAAAGAAACTATCGTTATCAGGTTTTGGTGTTCATTTTGTCTCGTATTGGTTAAATAAGGTAAATACTGGCATATCTCATATTTGACGCATCGCTGTGCTAATTGCAGGTTGTTGCTTATAATGGACCGGTTTCTTTAAGGAAAACTGTTTTTAAATGTCAAATACTAATTCACATTGATAATTCAAAACAGTGCCAATAATACGAAGTATTTGTGGGTTACCTTGGGTAGGTTGTGGGTTCATGACTTTATACAAAAGTTTGATATTTCATAAAATGGATAGAAAATAACGTATGGACTAAAAATGTTACGGAAACCAAGGAAACTAAAGTGATGCCATCACTTTTTAAGAGGAAGAATGTGACTGAGGGGTGGTCGGGTGAAATTTTAATCAAATAATCTGTGCCGTAAGAGAAAAAAGAAAGAAAGATTTTTTTTTATTTAATTCCATAAAAAAAGATACCGCTACTTAAAACATTCCTGGCGAGTTTATAAGAATAACACACAATTAAATTCAAATTGTTTTTTTTTTAAATCATAACCCTCTCCAGACCACATCTTCTATCCAATCAATAAAGCTGGCGACCCTTGTGTATATCCCAGGAATGTTTTTCTGAGCACAGCCAACACCAAAGGATGTGATTCCAATAATGTAGTGCATTGACCCCTGTGATTTTACTGGTATAGGTATCTTTACCTGCAGAGGTCCACCTGAGTCACCCTGAAAAAAAAATTATGTATCATTCATATAAATGGCTCTTAAATACTTTGTATTTTAACAGACAATTTACCAATAATACTTTGTATATCGAAGAATGAAGCAGTTTCTACTATAATATATGTTTATTTCCGTTTAAATATCATTAAAGCTTTAATAAAGAAACAAACCAAGGTCAGGGCTGAAGTAGCTCTATAAGTGATGACGCTTTAAGAGTTATGATTTATTACCACTCCATAAATCTCCGTTGTGTGATTCACATTGTTTTATTAAACACGTTATTTATCGGACGTCCTTGCTGCAAAAAGAGACTCACTCCATACCTGACAAGCATCGACACCTCCTGCTAATTTTCCAGCACAGAGCTGATGCAAGTCTACCCCACACCAGAGGCGGTTAAAATAGAGTCGAAGTAAACTTTGACATTCGTCTGAATCAATAATGTCGACATCCGCTGCTTGTAACTCTGGGGATGTCTTTCTTCCACCTGGAATTAAAAACAGAAAATAAACGCAAGAATCTCCTTATTTACAACATATGATTCATCTTTCATGGTCTAAATCTTTGAATTAAATTATCTACTTAGAAGAATTTAAATACTCTCATGGGGTTCTATTATTTCCTAAATATCCACATAAATAATTAATTAATTAAAAACAACCTAACGTTTGCATATTCTATGGGCTTCATACTTTCGATTGGTATAGAATTTATCTAATAATCATACCGGTGCAATGTTTAAAAAAATATTTTTTTTTAATATTAATTAAAATACTCTGGACTGTAATTTGCTAGGCAACCCATATGGATTATATTTATTGACATATTAAATTAAATATAAAATACGTTTCATTAAATAAGCATCTCGGTGAAGGTCGTTGTATATCGGGATCTTAGACCAATAGGATATCTGACTTACCTGATTCTACTACACCCCATCCTGTAAGTGTCGCCT